CATATCGTTCCAGAATAGGCGTGGCGACTGTAACAACTGCGACTACATTTTCGGCCCTATGAAATATTAGCTTCCCAAGTCGAGTCCACCGATCATACACAGCATTTTCTTGAAAACTAAACCCACCAGAAGAACGCGTTATAAATATACGTGATTGTCAGTTCTCGGCTCGTGATAACTTTCTCTCCAGACTTTAACGTCTTCACGCGGAACTCTGTTTCCTCGTATTGGTCAACTAGCTTGGCGGTTAGAGCCTGAACAATGACTGGGGGGTATCATTATGAAGAGAGAAGGGGGCAGTACCGATAAATGGTATCACAGCAGTCTTGAAAGCGCCAGAGCCAAACGAAAGAAACACAAGAGCGACAATCATGCCCGGGAGCGCAGCTTCGGCCTCGAATGTGCCAGACCGAGATGTGGCGGCCAAGATGGTACCGCCAATGGCTTCGATTCTGTATCCACTAATTTAACACCCTGTCTCATTTCAATGTTCTCGAGACTAGGAAACTCACATGCACGACCATACCAAGGTCCTATAGCGGCCGTGCCCTGAATCTGCCAGGATAGCAGCTGGGATGGGCGTTACGTAGGAGGAGATCATCAACGCGTTGACAATGTTGGATGCGGTGGCTTGGCCGAGCCCAAGTGCGCCGGGGATGGCACCTCCCGGGGCGTTTTGGATATAATTTTCTACCGGCTACCGCATTAATACGACAAAAGTCTTCGGGCAGTCCAGATCGATATTGGCAGGCGACACTCACGCAACGGCATCGTGCCTGCGAACCACACGAACCGTTCACAGGCACCAATTAGGCAGGCGATCCATGTACGGGATGGGATGTCGTCGACCACGTGGAGGAGAGTTGCAATCTCTTCTTCGGTGGCAACAGGGCGGCCATCCTGGTTTACGGGCACCAGGGACGGGACACCGACGACGGGAGATGGAGGCTCCTGATCTGTCCCATCCCTCTTTAGATCGACAGCATTTGTCGATCCGTCAAGAAGTCTTGATGGAATGACGGTAAGTTCAGTGGTATGACTTTCAGCCCCAGGAGGCTTTGTCGTTACGGTCATTTTAACAGTTCAAACGACTCCTTAATTGTCTGTTTGGATCTTGAAATTTCTAAGGTCTTGTTAAGCATTCTAGTTAGTCTAGTATCTTCTTTGGGTGTTGCTTAACCTCGAAAAGAAGGAAAAAGTCAAGCAATCGACACCCCCGATGCTATATATATACTCGTGTTTCCAACATCACACAGTCCTATGCTCCACGACCGGAGCTGAGTGTAATGAGTCACAAAGGAATGTTGGCTGTATTCACAAAGGCAAGGCCTGCCGTTTTGGGATTGCTCCCCCACTATCTACCATATTACAGGAACCTTTGTTCGGAGTTTATGATCCATTGTCGTGGCAAAGGGTCAATTCTTCTAGGCATGGCCTGATTTGAGAGCGAGTCAGAGTCACACAGCTACAACTATAACATTGTGCTTTATGAGCCCAATCCTCAACAAATTGTCGCTATCTAGAAGAACTGCCGGAGGTTTGAGTCAATCTTGGAGATCAGCTTGAACTAACCCATACGTGTACGGCATTTAGCATCGAAAGGTTTCAATTGCACCACCAATACATAGCGATATCGCAAGCTAGCAGTATTTCCGTGTTTAAGGATCTCTTCCCTCATGACATCTTATTTTGTTTGCTAGCAGTAGCAACACAACCTGAGCACCAATTGAAACTAAATCTCTACGATGCCTCATGTCGTCTGGTCTAGGGTAGCTAAGAAATGGGCACAAGGGAACATGTGACGTCACACGTGATTTGCAATTACCAATCAATTCTCCTCCTTCTCGTCGCTTGATGACTACATACATCCCATCGTGTGTTGCAGACAACGAGCCAGCCAGCAGCCCTAGACTTGCAGACTGCTCTAGCTTTTGAGACACTGCTCAAGTATGGGCCGCGGAAGGCCTCGCACGTGTGTCGCTCCCTGCAGGTTCTGCCAGCGCCAGTTCAAGCGCGTGGAGCATCTGCAACGCCATGAACGCACCCGTATGCAAGCAAGCCCCCAGGCCCCATTGGCCTGACTTGATCTGACCGGTGGAGCTATCCATTGTTGATCCCGTTGTCTCGATTTCCCAGATACCCACGAGAAGCCTTTCACGTGCGATTGCGGTCAGACCTTCTCCAGACAGTGAGTCACTGCAGCCCAAGTTTCCCATGATCCAGCCCATTCCATGCGAACAATGTCTAATGCCTTCTAATAACCAGAGACTTGCTGTCCCGCCACCAACGCCTGTCCCATCCCCAAGAGAGCGGCTCCAGCGAACAGAGTGGCATCAATAACGACCACCACGATGGCCACAGCGAACAGCACTTGGCATCCCCGACTGGCGATGCGGCGTCGCCTGTACATCGCAAGAGTCTCGACATCGGAGGGCTCAATGACCAAGAAACCCATACCCAGCTGTTAATGAGCCAGCCGATCGCTCAATTGGCGGCACCGACCGAAACCTCGATGGTAGAACCCACATCGTTCATCGACAGCATCGGGCATGACGAGTTCGCCTTCCTATGGAACGACGACTTCACACCCGGCGATCAGCCACTCCCTTTAGACTTTTTCGATACCGGCCAGTCTCTCGTCGACATCTCCCACCAATATGCTGCTGCCTCCCAGACCCAACGAGCTACCATCGAGGGAACAGCTCCGAATCCCCGTCCTGTCGTCGATTCTGCGCCCGATACGATACCGTTCCTCTCTGCTCCCGCTTCCACCCCTTCAAGAGACCCAAGCGCACTCGCGATGCGTTTCCCTTCGCTCGAGCCTGAGACAAAGCCCGCCGACCCGGAATCAGCTGCGCCTAGCACGAATTATCGACCTCTCTCAGCCGTCGAACATAATAGACCGTACGCCTGCCCGTGGAGGATTTCTTGTCAAGACTACCAACAACTGTCTCGCGACCTGTCTGCGTTCGGCGAGCTCCTGCCACCCGGCTTCCATTGCCCTTCGCGACCTACACTGTCTCGCTACCTTGAGGGTTATTTCCGTGGTTACCATGACCATCTCCCGTTCCTCCATACCACGAGCTCTACAACATCTCTTGGCATCGAACTCGTCATTTCTATAGCAGCCGTGGGTGCGCTCTACCGATTTGAGCACGCTAAGGGCTATGAGCTATATCGTGTCGCCAAGGCAATAGTGAACAAACGGTTCGATGAGTGGAATGAAGAGGCCACGGCCACTTCTGAGGCTGGATATGCCGGATTCACCTCAAGTTTGCCTGACGGTCAACCCTCGTTGGTTACCAGCCCACAAAAGAAGCCCCCGTCGCAGGCGATACGCGGCCGGTGTGGCTTTAGCGGCCTTCGTCTTCTCCAAAGCCTCATTGTTTTGATGTCTTTGACGTCATGGAGTGATCGTGGACTCATGCGTGATGCACTCTCTATAGCAAGTCAGGTTGCTATGGTAGTCCGGGAATTAGGTGTCAGCCAGCCAGAAGGCGAACCTCACTGGGATATTTCCTGGGATGTGTGGATGCAAGTAGAAGAACGCCGTAGGACTCTCTTTGTGGCATATATTGTCTTGAACCTCCAGTGCATGGCTTTCAATGTCCCTCCTCTGCTTCTCAACCAAGATGTCTCCATTAATCTACCGTGTTGTGCTACAATCTGGCGAGCACCCTCCGCCACAGAATGGGCTGCCACTGTTCACTCGTCTGCTCACCCAGGAAACAAAGCCTTCCAGTTAGCTCTACAAGAGCTATACTCAGGGAAGGTCCAAGGTCGGTTCTCGGCCTTTGGAAACTACATCATGATCCATGCTCTCTTCCAGCAAATCTTCTTTGCCCGCAACGCCAACACTTCAACTCCAAACACGCTCGACTCGGACTTCGTCAGACGCATCGAGGTAGCCTTGCGCGCTTGGCAGGAATCGTGGGAAGCAAGCTACGATTCGACCCTGGACCCTTCCTCGCCAAAGGGCCCCATCGGGTTCAACTCAACCGCCGTTCTCCGCCTCGTCTACATCCGCATCAATGTCAACACTGGACCCAAACGCCAACTCATCACCAGCAACCCGGAGGAGATTGCGAGTGCGTTCGCCAACGGCCAGATTCAGATCGGCAACAGGTCGCCGCACCTAGATCGGGCGGTGCTGCAATGTATTCACGCCCTGAGTGTGCCTGTCCGGGTCGGAGTCGCTTTCGTTGCGCGGACGCAAACGTTCAGTTGGAGCATCCAGCACGCGTTGTCGAATCTCGAATGCGCCCTTTTGCTCACACACTGGCTGCGCTCAATTGCTCAAAGCGTCGTAGTGTCAGGGCCCGAGTCGCTCCGTTCCGATGAACGCAAGCTCCTAGACATGGCTGTGAGTCTTGTCCTCGAGACGGAATTGGCCGAGGCCATCGAGAACATGCAGTATGACGGCGTAGGTATCCGTCGACTTGCTGCGTCGACGATGAGGATCTGGGCGGAAACCTTTAAGGGGTTCCAGGTGTTTGAGATAGTCCATCGCATTGGCTTGGGTCTCTGTCTTGTAGCTGACATGCTGGATAGAGAGATTGGAGGCTCCTCGTGATGGGAATTTCACAAATCCTAAGTAGTCGGGAGAAATAAGACGGGTCCTTTTGTGATTTGCCCGTAACACGGAAGAGAAAGAGAATAAAGTCTAATAACTATGAAGCCCGACAACTCAACGCAATGAATACGAAAGCTGGAAAATATAGCCTTTCTTAGTCCGCCCAATATGTAGTCATTGCCTCTTTCGCCTAGCTTCCTTTATACACTCGTCTTACACCAATCCCAGAAGAACATGTAGGGGTAGTCGGTAGCACTGCCACGAAGAAGAAGGGTCAGAGGATATAGCCGAAATAGAAATGCTTTTAAGCTTTAAATCAGAGTGAAAGTTGCCCATAGCTAGCTCCTCTATCCTGAATTAACAAGAAGAATATAAGAAGGGCCCCTTTCGTCGCCGCGACTTCCTGCCTTGCCCTTGTTCCATCAGGTCAATAATACTCGATTTCTACAGCTTCTCTGACGCTTTTTGGCAACCAAACCAGCGAGTAACCCTTGTCATATGTATCATCAAACAAGTTAGGGTCGTCCTGGTAGTTATATTCAGCATTCCAATAGTCTATATTCATTCTGCGTTCCAAGTATTGTCGACGAAGATGGGGAGCATAGATCTTGGATATAGCATTGAACGGCCCTTTGTCGGAGAGGGAAAAGACCCCGAACGAGTCGTGCATGCTTGCATCTTTAGTTCGCGACGCGGCGGCTGTGATAGTGGGCTGGCCGCCCTCTGGCCGCTTTGGGAATTTTTGATGCCATTCCCAAATCTCCTTCTGATTTGCCCTCCAATCATCATAGAGCACACAAATATAGCTGAGCTTTTTGAGGCGACCTTGCCAAGCACAATTGACCAACTCTTGCAGCTGGTCTAGTATTGCTTCGCCACAAGAATGAATCGTAATACACTGTAGGCTGTCAGGGAGACAATCCACCATCCTGGGGGCACCTTCAACCTTGAGGGGCATATTATGGTGTCCACGAGGTTTGGAGGCAAGCATTCCGGTTAGGGCCTGCATACCTACTACAAGCGTTTTCAAGGAACGCATCTCACGAAGCCTCATTCCGAGATATAGCCTCTCGTAATCAGACTCATCAGGATCCCAACGATGATCGAGCTCCTCGTAAAGATCCAAGTACAGGTATTCAAGTGTATGACGATGAATCCAGACAGCATTCATTATATCCACAGGCATCAATAAATTTGGAGCTTCAAGCCAAGGAGGCTTATACCAACTGAATTCGAATTTCTTGAGCTCCTTGCAACTGCCCAGTATATGCCAGATAGGCCAAGTGCAAAATGAATTAGATAGAGTTATCTGTTCAACTGGAGAAGCTCTAAGCGGTAGGGTTTCGAAGCTTGCAGCTGCAGTCTCCGTCCCCTGAACCCCGAGAGCTTCGTAAATCCGGAGCCGAGGTAATGCAAAGAGTTCTGATGCTTCAATGTGGAAGTCCTGCTGGCGTTCTGCAAAGCCTCCCTGTTCATGAAAGACCTCCTGGAGATTACAGAGGGGCACGCTTGTCTTGGTACAATGGCCGTCATCCTGTCCAGATCCACGCTCCCCAGGTTGGTCGTTTCGAGCCGATATATCCCGAACCATTCGTAGCAATCGGACGAAATGGTTGGAATCGGATACTTCAAAGTATAGAGTTCGAATGTTGGGGCAGGCAAGCAGAATCAAGGCAATCTGAGCATCAGAAGTGCCATTCCCTAGATCCTCTACCCAAGAATCACACCATGAAGCAGTGTCACCTGATGCTAGTTGACGTAATCTGAGCTGGATATACTGCTGATAGACGGCGAGCTCCTCGCGGTCAATGCTTTCTTGGCCTTGGGCTGTCTCGTTGCCATCTGCGCCTCCTCTATGATCAGTCGAGAACCTGCCTAAAATTGCAGTCTTCACGTGCTTGGCCAACCAGGGCTTGGTAATGAGAATGTAGCGTAAAAATTGTATATTGCGAGCCGGAGAACATGGTCCGTGAGTTCCAGGCCACGGGACAGTGTTTCGAAAGACCTTTACGGTGAGTGGAAGCGCTATCTCATATAGCTGCTTGCAAGTTTTGAGGACCGCATGTATGCTTGACTTGCCGAAGAACACAGCGAGGTGGGATAATATTTTCGTTTGGATCTCCGGTGGCAAGGTCAAGAGACCGCATTGTTCTTGTAGCCCCATTTCGTGCTGTCCTTTTCTAAATCCCCATCTAATGCGTTTCTCTACAGCGTACTTTTTAGCGACGTGTAAGCCTGGACTGTTGTTGGGCTGGGAATCTAATCAGGACCGATCATGGAAAGATTGGGCGCTGAGGAAAGAGGTAACATTGTGTGTTGGTCGCTCAACGGTTTGGCCACGCCAGCAAACACGAGGCATTTTTACTATCAGACCGCTTCACCAGCCATCTGACCCCCTGCTAATACTCGCCCCACAGGATTCTGTGTGCCTACAATCAATTCAGAAATATCTGCCCTTACCCGGGGTCAAATCTGAGCTACTATCTAGGTTGGCGAACCAAGCTGGAGCGGATGATCATGGACCATGACCCTGGTGCTATTCCACGTGAGACTTTGTATAATGGCGATTAATAGGTCCAAAGGGATGAACATTAGATTATCCAGTATTCAACACTTGCAATAGCTTGCCATGCAAAATATGAAATACCAAGGGGCTTACTGCCACCAATAGGAGGAGGTTCTTCTCTACTTTGTACCCACTTGCTTAGAAGAGAATTTAGTTACCTCGCTTTGTCTTTCTCTCGTTTGTGGAAAGAGAGAAAACGAATTGATGCTATTGGTGAAATGAACCGGGGTTCATGTATGTTGGTTGTTGGACCAAACGGTTGATCATGTTCAGGGAATAATATTACACACCAAACATAAGCCTGGCCAGGGTCTATCAGTAACAATATTTTCATGGTCCTTACTTCATGGTCTTCCTATTTATGATTAGAGGCAATTCATGAGGTTATGGATGGTTGTTGGTGATTGCCTATCAATCAAATTGATGGAGACGTTGCGGGTGGTTCCATCCAATCATTTCGGTTGATATGACTAGCTTTCACTACGACCAGCAGACGAATGCGCTGACATTGACCCTGGAACTCACGGACCATGTTCTCCGGCTCGCAATATACAAGAGTTCCTGAAACTAGCCGAAGACGCAAAGGGTCAGTCAGAGCAGCCATCATAAAAATGAAACAATTAAGAGTCTTGGAGCTATCCTCTTTAGGGTAGCTGAAAACTCCAAGCTCACACCTTCGAACTACCTACGGTTGGGGATAAGCCCGGCTACACTCAGACGATTCATGAGCCTAATGGGTTCCATTTCACCACAGAAGAGGTAGCAATTGTAGCAGGACCATCATGGCAATCAAACTAATAGAGGCAAGTAGGGCTAAAATCTCTCACGCTTCCGATGAGCGAGCAACACAATCAACGCCGCAGCAACAAGCAAATTTAATATGTTGATTCTCACTTCCTACCTAGATAAACTTAGTTTTTACAGACAACTACTATAAGCTTTATTACAAGCTTAAATAGACTAGAGATTAGGTTTGTAGGGTAGGGACTACAACTAATTGACATGTTTTTGGAGTCAATGCGTATAGCGGGGATGTTGATCTGAAGTTGGCTTGAAGGAACGCGCGGGTTCCGTAGCGGTCAAGGATTTCTAAGCCGTGGCATTGCTCGGCATCGCCACATGTCCGAGCTGGCCATAAACGGCGCGTTGGACTCGGCCTTCGGGGGCTAGGCAAGATGTCACCAAGCCGGGTTTGGAAGAGGAGATGGGCTATTCAGAATTTCCACCCCGCTCGCTAACAACAAGAGAGCGAAGACACAACGTACTACAAATACAAGGACCAGCTTGCAGCAGGCTGGCATTGGTAGTCTAATCACGCTCTTAGGTCTCTGTCCAACTTTATGAATCACAATGGTTAATGTAGCTGTTCTAGGAGGCTCCGGCCATGTTGGGAAAACCATCGTGGACGCTATCAAGGAGCATCCCAGTCATTCAGTGGTTATCCTCAGTCGAAAGGTCGGGTTCCCTTGCAGCTGCAATCACACATCTCAGTTTCTGATTTGGGATCTATAGGCTCCATCCACGGTTGATCCAGAAGCACCTACCGTCCTGGTTCAATACGATGACGAATCATCCTTGACATCGGCCTTGGAGGCGCACCAAGTCGAGACCGTCATATCTTGCCTCGGTGTTCATGATGACAACTTAGCGCAGGTGGAAGCAGCCGTCATACGCGCCGCCGACAAATCCAAATACACTAAGCGTTTTATACCGAGCAACTGGAGCACACCAAATGCCGATTCGTAAGTTCTTGATCTATACCAAGATCAGCAGAATGTCCACCTCATTGCTTTTTCTTAATCGAAGTTGCTAAATGGTCTAATTTTCAGTTCCAAAAGTCCTCTGAACCCGTGGGCTGTGTTTCAGCGAAAAGCCGTGGACCTTCTCCGAACCACCAGCCTCGAGTGGACTGAGATTGCCCCTGGCTACTTTGCTGATTACTGGGGCATGCCTTACATCGAAACTCACCTGACTCCAATGTCTCCGGTGATTGACATGAAAAACAACGTCGCAGCCATTCCAGGGTCAGGCGATGAACCGGTCGTCTTCTCTTATTCGCTTGACGTCGCCAAAGTTGTCGCAAGATTGCTTGATCTGCCTCAATGGCAAGATACCACCTTCATCGTTGGGGATAAGCTCACGTGGAACGAGTTCCTTAAATTAGCTGAAGACGCAAAGGGTCAGTCAGAGCAGCCATCATAAAAATGACCGATCGCTAAACATGTTTGACAAATTAGGTACTCAGTTTGAAGTCCATCACGACGATTTAGAGAAATTAGGAAAGGGCCAAATCACTGAGTTACCCTGCCATGTTCCAGCATACACATTCTTCCCGAAAGAGCATCTCCAAGGTCTCTATGCTATCTTGGAGAACTTGATGGCCGCTGGAGAGTTCAATTTGCCATTTGAAAAGTCTATTACCACTCGGTTTCCAGACATAAAAATGCTCACCATCAAGGAACTGTTGGAAAAGACCTGGAAGGCGTAAACCAATCAGTAACCTGGAAGTATTGGCGAGAGACATAGAATGGACCTGGATAGAACTATGAGATCACATTTGTTTTGAGATTAGTTGCTGAATGTAGCCTATAATTTCAAATGTGTTCAATCATCCAGCCGCGCTGGTATAATTCTGAAGACCACCTTTGTAGTTGCTTTGGCTTTATGACTATTTACCTTAGTCTTGAATCAAATTTTTAATTGAATCAAACGATATTCCCCAAGTTAGCACTAGCAATCGTCTGAAAGACTTTTAGAAGGAGCACCATGCTGATGGCAAGAGATGCTCCATGGTTTTAGATTCACGCACCCAAGGCATAGTGGGCTGCATTTACACCACAGAGGTGACATCGATCTGCCTCGCGAGCATCATTGCAATCAAATGGATGGAGACGTTGTGGATGGTTCCATCCAATCATTTCTGAAAGTTGACCCAATTGCAGGGATCGATCCTTGGCGGGGGCTATGCTAGCCAGGTCCTCCTCAGCCGCACTCCTCACGAAACCGCCTGATTGTTCCCAGTTGCTGGGTTGATCTTTTATCAAATAGTGCTTGGGAGAGATTGAGCCTGAGAAAATTTCCACATGGCTCCTGTCATGAGCTCTAACGCCACTCAAAGACTGCATTCAACATGGCCGATACTCACACTGTAACAGTGAAACGCTCAGCAGGTGAACCACAACCTACCTTCAGCAAGACGAATGATGGCAAACAATCCAGTCTATGTACCGATTGCCAGGCCATTTTCGAGGGTGAATTTCTTCTCGGGCATAGGGAAAGACAGGATGGGGAAGACGATGAATCCAGCTATTCTGGAGCCTACAAGCTCTATGGTTCAGGTGACCCTACGATCAGTCAAGGCTGCCATCTTTGCTTCTTGCGAGACCGGAAGCGCATCAGAGATGGTTTTGAGTTTCCAGCTGATCTAGTTCTGAGATACCTCATTGTTCAAGGGAGAACACGAGGGGACTTCTTTTCCCTCGTCTTCTCGTATAGCTTCATGCCACCAGAGGAGGAAATGCTGGACTCGGCAGAGGCTGTTGTCAGCCATGAGCTAAGCTTATCGCAGATGTACAAGGGAGAGCCGATTGTTCCCGTCGAAGCACCAGGTCTCATGGAGAGCGCAATGGAATATCCAGTTGTGACCGCGAGCAACCTAACGTACAGCCAATTCCCCCCATGTCAGATTGAGACAGAAGAAAACTCGACGACTTTCCACCGGAGGCAGACACTTATAGATCCCGAGTTTTGGGAGACATATCAGTCAATGGTCCAATCAGATCCTGTGTTCGACAGCTTATCAGTCAATACAAACTCTCCATCCACCTGGGCAATCACTCGATGCTGGATCAAAAACTGCGTTGAGCGGCACGAGTTGTGTCAGTTGACCAGGAATCTGGGAGCACAGCTTCCCACGAGGCTCGTGTACGTGGATAAAGACCGAAATATTCGTCCCCGGATTGTTGAAGGGAGTGTACTCCCAGAGAATACGTGTTACACAACTCTATCACACCGTTGGGGAACAGAGAAGTTTCTGTCGTTGAAGTCTTCCAACCTGAAGGCCTTCCAGAAGAGACTACCGGATGCAGCACTGACTCCCACTTTCGTCGACGCCATGCATGCGACCCTTTGCTTGGGGTATCAATACATCTGGATTGACAGCATTTGCATTCTTCAAGACTCTGTTGACGATTGGTCTAAAGAGTCCCAGAAGATGGGAGCGTATTATTCAAACTCGATTTGCAACCTTGCCGCGTCGAAGGCATCCAACGGCAGCGGCAGTGGATTATTTGCAGCCAGAGACCCCTTCGCAGCACAATCATGTAGCGTAAAGGAGACCTGGAAGAACACAAGCCCACAGTTCACATTCCACGTACACGACCTGATGACTCAGTTCGGCGAGAACGTGTACGGCTGTGAGCTGGGAGATCGCGGGTGGGTTTTCCAGGAAACTCTTCTGGCGCCACGAGTGCTGTATTTCGGATCAGACCAGATATACTGGGACTGTCTCTGCCTCCGTGCCTGCGAAGCCTGTCCAACTCAGTGGATCGGGCTCTCGTACAAAAACAAGATCGGCCAGATGCCGACGTACATGCTTTCGGAGTACTGCGAGACGAACCGCCTCTCCGACGTGCTTCGATGGGAGTCGGTCGTAGAAGAGTACTCTAGCTGCGATTTGACTTATCCAGAAAAGGATAGGTTGGTCGCTCTGTCTGGGATAGGGAGAGCATTTGGAAGTCCCGCCGACTACTTGGCTGGTCTCTGGCGTGATGATATCGCAAAGCAGCTCCTGTGGAGGCCGGGTCAGCATGTCAAGAGACACGCGGCTTACATTGCCCCGTCGTGGTCATGGGCGTCTATGAATGGCTCTGTCACATATGGTAATATCTGGGATGACCATGATCTGGACGAACAAGCAAAGCTCTCCTACGCTGGGGGGTTAATACGGGGCAGGCTCTGGACCGCCAAGAGAGGGATCAGAGATTTTCTAGTTGGTGCCAACCTCTACCGCGTCCGTAGCATCACTACACCGTTTGTGTCTCTTGCAGGGGCACAGATGCAGTTTGCGGGGGAGGACATGATGGGTCGCGTCACAGGTGGCTCTCTCCGCTTAAAGGGGTTTCTTTTCCACCTCAGTGCCGCCAAGAGACGTGCCTCGTATAGGCTTGAACTCATCTCAGACGAGGAGCACGCCAAATTGCCTCCAATAGAATCTCTCTGCTTCCTGCCGCTGAGGACACAGAGCAAGACGACGCTATCTGGTTTGATACTTGAGCCAACAAACAAAGACCTGGGCGAGTACCGAAGGATTGGGTTTTTTAATGCTCGAGACATAGACATGAAGTTGCGAATGGAATCATTGAAGATTTTGCACAAACTCCAACACAGACTTATACCGCTGAGGAATGGGGACTATATAGAGAAAACAGGTACAAAGAAGGACAGTATAGCAGAGTGTATTATCTCGATTATATAATTCTACTGCTCGTTCTGTGCAGAGCCTTTATTCTTAATCTTAAATTCCAATCTGACACTCTTAGGTATTCTTGCGAAAAATAAGGCACTGGGTAATGAAAGAAGCACTCATCTCTACCATATTCTAACTTGACTTTCGCAGAGCTCATTTAGAGCTCTAAAGTTTCCCTAGACTTTTGAGATTTATTTATGAGCTTCTCAAGCAATGTATTGATTGGGGAGCTAATTATTATTCTAATCCATTTTGAGTCGTGAGGACCTAAGCTAACAAAGTCTAAGAAACGTGCATAACCTTCCATCACTTCGCCGGTGAGTCATCGCCTGGGAAACATAACTTAAGGAGTGGATGATCCAACCGGTCATAGCTAACCACCAAATATCCATACTAAAACCTGGTTAGGTTTGGTTAGTGCTTGGATTAGGGGTTAGTAGGGTTAGTTCCGGGTATGAAAAAATAGCTGGCAACAAGGTCAATTACAAGAGGCGGATGAAAGCGGCTGTGTGCTAATTGTCACTTGCCGTCTGTCAGTTGTAATAATGTTCAATGCTTGAAGCCAATTGTAGGGAGCTGAAAGGCCAGACTCGCAATATTAGACTCTAATAGTTAAGATCGGCCGGCCCAGATGTAGATCTTGTAGCCGCAATTGCAAGGGTGCGCTCGTCCTATAACCCGATTTTAAGTTCTGCCCAGTCTGTCTTGGCAAAGAAGTTGAACTGACTGCTGATTGGGTCTTAGGCGGCAGGAAGTGGGGAGAAGCCCCTGATTCTTTGAATTTTGCGGAGAAAACCTCCGCTAGGTGGCAAGGTGGTTATATTTGTTATGTGTCTATTAATTGCTTATGAATTATCAGGTTTAACCTTTTGCCAACGCTGTATCAGTTCATCTAGCACCGTATCATAATCAGACCCATTAGAAAACAGTCTTGTTAGTTTGATAGCAGTGTTAGGCTCAGCCATCAATCCAAAGACATTCTTGATCCTATTCCTCATATGATATGCAGATGATGCGTCCTTCATTTCGTCATCCCATTCCTCTCCGTTAAAGGCTCTCAGCATAAGAAGCGCCAGAGAAGCAATGCCCGCAGCTAGCGCCGTAGCCACGCTCGATCCTGACACGGTGTTACTCTGATTGATCATGTAATCGGGCGCAGGGGCATCGATGTTTTCTACAGGAACGAGCACATCAACTTTTCGCGACGAAGTCGCCTTGGAAGTCAAGTGTCCCCATTGGTCCGTCGCGCTCACAGTTAGGACATGGGCTGCTTGACCAACAGGCTCAGCATTCGATAAAGCCCCCTCGTCTGCAGTCGAGCAGAAGACAATGATTCCATTTTCATATGCAGATTCGATTGCCTTGTTGAGCTCTGCATTTGCCTTGTTGAGTGTCCAACTGATGGATATGATATCCACGCAGTTTTCAATCGCCCAATGGATTGCCTTTGTGGCAGCCTCGGGCTGGATATCGTTTCGGCCTCTACCCACTCTCGCTACATAAAGACTGCAGTAGGGGTTCGTTTGGCCGATAAGTGACGCCATCTGTGTTCCGTGTGGGTCAGAGACCATCCACCATGGTAGTAACCGGTCAGAGCCCGTTACTTCCGCGTTGACATATGATTGACCTTTGGCAATCAAATGACGGTAAGCAAAACGGACTCTGTCGGCACCATTGTCAATTATGGCAACCTTGATTCTCCTGTCTTGTGGTTTGGAATCTGGATCGGCAAAAGGATTATCATTGGGATGAAGCGCCAATCCACAGAGACGCTCAATTTGCATTTGCTCTTCTGTTATGTTACCAGCCTCGGTTCTCGAGTTTCTATTCAAAAGTTCCTCTAGAGTACTGAAGAATGACTTCAACTGTCCAGTGAAAGGATGCTGAAGAACTTGTGCTGCTGTTTCATCGGGATCAAGCGATGCAAGAGGATAATACCACTTTGCATTATGTTTAACCTCGAGTTCATAGGCATTTTTGCGTTTCGCATGGTCTTTCAGGCGGTATGCGTACCGCAAAGTCATATTTTCATGTTGCTTTCGAGTCTCTTCATCATAGTAGTCCTAATTTGAATGAGTCCGATCTGTTTTCATATGGTTGCATCCTTGTGGACAATTCTTTTTTAAAGAGAGCTTACCTTTGTTGATTTCAGGAGAATCACATCTATGGAAACCTTTCGGAGCTAATACCGAAGATTAAGTTAGTCAATAGCCCAATATAATCTATGATACGGAGAGAATATGGTGACTTACCTTCGTGAGCTTTTCCAAACCGTCCGAACTGATCCAGTGATAAAGAATACTCCAATTTCCACTAGAGTAAAGCCTTAAGCCTTTCAAACAATTAGATGGTGAAAGGTCTTGTTCCTTAATGCCAGTACTAATGAAAATGTCGAGATTAACGTCAAGCTTCCGCCAATCTAGTTCCTCGACCCTGAATGAATTAAGGATATGATGTTGCACGAATATATCGCTGAGTGGGTTTGCAGTGTTATCCGGAATACTAAGCTTCCTAATAGTTTTCACTCCTCGACCTTTCAACCACTTGAACAGCTCAGAGATAGCTCTGGGCGGGCATGGTTGTTTAACATAGTTCAAGTCTGGTAGATGGACAAAAAGAAGCGTTTCCTCGAATTCAAGAACCTTTTCATCGACTTGCTTCAGCCTCTGTACATAGGCCTCAAAGTCATGCGATGATTGATTGAAGTCGGACATATCGAGACATAGTTCTTTGGTATCTCCTTTATAGCCATAAAGAGCTTTACTAACATCAGGGACCTTTTTGACCTTATCGAAGATCAGTCGCTTGAGGTAAGACCGGAAGTCCTGATTCAAGTCTTTTCGAAGGCGGCACTCTGTAAAAAGAGAGTCGCCTTTGTTGTTCGTGGTAGTCAGGATCTTTTCCATTAGATCACTGTCACCCCGCTCCTCAATCATCTTCAGTGTCGCGAGTGGAGAGAACGTTTTATCCCAGCCCTTTGTTTCAGCATCAGCGCAGGGCGGTGGAGCATCCAGTGGCATTGTGATCTCGTGATGCCGCAAAGCAATATGCAATGGGGTGCAGCCATCCGAATCTTTACTCGTGAGAGCATCAGCAGGAAAGATAAGTAATAGAAATTGTATAAAGGGAACTGGAACGGAGGCAGCACAGTGGATAGCATTTTGCTTGTTGTCGTGCTGCTTTTCAAATATTCCATCCAAGGACTTTCGCATACCAGACCCGCTAGACTCGTTGCAGTAAATATTAAGGAGGCACGCGATGAATGCGAAATGATTGTTTGTTAAAGCCCAGTGAACTGGGGTTAACTTGGTCATGTGATCCTCTCCATGGTGCTCAGACGAAGGCCTTTTTGTGAAATACTTCCGAAAGGCAGAATCGTTCAGCATCCATATCAGAATTTTTCGGCCTACGCCTGTGAAATTTTCTTTGACATTTTGCGCAGAGCTTCCGTCGTCTGGCTTTACGCTAAACTTCCAAACATTGTCGATTTGGCTGTTCTTTTGTGCTTCGGCTTGTATCAAGTGATGGAGGAACTTATCTCCATTGCATCCAAAGGATGAGCTATTCATGATCTTGGTTTTCAAAGAACGCATAGCGGCGGGCTGTGTCCAGTTGTCGATGGCTGTGGCTGTGCGAAGAATGTCCCTCAGTTCGCCAAATTCGTCTTCCTGGACCGGAGTCGATGACTTTTCTTTCTTGCTTTCACCTCGCAAAGTCTCTGTTCGGGATATACCTGGCCGAGGGTCGGCCTTTTCCTTTCTAGTCTGTACCATGATTTCAATGAAGGATGTACAAGAATGACTTTAGAAATATAATCTTGTTATACTAACATTCAACAAATAATATTCTTAGCTGAGCATTGTGGCTATTGGTGTGTGGACATCGGACTTATATGAGTCAAGAAAGGATCATTGGCCGTGAAAACATAGGCCTGAAAATGATAAAGTCGCGCGGACTTGCATAAGCTACATAAGCTGCATATCTGTCGCCCCCCTTCTAAGGAGGGCCAAGACGGCCAAGACGGCCAGCTCGTCATAAGACCCATACAAGGACACGTCATCCCAACCCTCAGGGTTGTCAAGTGTGACATATCTTGAGCCTGGTCTGATTCTGTTATCGGCTAAAAATTTTGAGCACCAGCTTGGGGGGTGCAGATATAAAGCCTCATCCTGCAGTAGTTTTGTCTGTCACTGACCAGGTGATGGACAACTAAGCATCATTCGACAAGATGTCACTTGAGTCGTCCGGTGTCATTTCACTTCCGCTTGAGCTGCTGAATGAGGACTATGGAACTGTGAGATCTGATATTGTTCCTACAGTTGCTCAGGCCGCAGTCGCTGGCTTTTATGTTGACTTCAAGATTGTCTATGAAATTCATGGCAGCTTTGACCCAGGAGACGACAACAATGCGAGCTTGTTAGGTGTCAGGATCTTTCCATTTCCAAAGGACTCTACGAAGCAATTCAAGGAATTCGAGGTCAAATTATCGGTCCTAGCAGACAAGGACAGCCCGAATGATATTCCTGTGCTCAAATCATTTGAACCTGCCTCTGAAGGCGCGCAATTTGTCGACGCTTTCACAACTAATGAATCTCTGGAGCATTCGAATGAGATCAGCGGCGAGTTGAAACCATGGGATGTTGCGTCTTTGGGTGCGAAGACATCAAGTGTGAGAAAGTCTGAATTCACCAAGACGCACCGCCTGAGTGTCAGAGCGTCGTCACAGCGAAGCTCTACGACTCTTTCGCGCTCCATCCACAATCAGGCAACCTGGAAAATAATCCCCGCTACTAAAGAACAGGGAATCGGGGATTGTTTCTCGGTTTCGCTTCTTATCCAGCGACCCTCTGGCACGAAGTTCCAGCTTCTCGCTGAGGTGAACGGCAATGTGGGGAGCCGCGCCGAAAACTCGAAAGAATGGCTCAAAACAAGCATACAGGGCAAGAGACGGCCCAGCACTCTTGGAACTTTTCCGAGTGATAATGTATCTTCGCGCGGAGATGCCCCGCCTGGCGTTGATTCAAAAGACTTGCATCGCGCCTCAACGGCTGGACTCATGAGCAAATTCAATGACGTTGGACTACACCTTCCAGAACATGCACCTCCATTAAAATTCAACCAGAGTAAGTCAGTGGCTTTCAGATATTGTGCGTTGAAAAGGATACTAACTAACGCCGACCAGCCGCTGCTTCTGCAACCTATCTTGATCTGGGATCCAATAACACAACCCTTTCCAACAAGGACCAACCGGAAGAACCCTGCGCTATGATATCCAGCCAGGCTCCCACCACGGACGTCTTGCTACCCAGTATCCTGTCAGATGACGGTACTCGCGCAGCGCCTCTGGCCCCAGAAGCCGTTGATCACTCAGAGCCTGCCACAGTGTCCCAATCTGGCATACCGGACAATGTGCAGCTGACTGGCGTCAACACCGACGACCTACTGGTTGCTCTTCTGCAGCGGCTGCAGCGTATGCCTGCTCAACTTCCAACAACAAAGTTGGAAGTCAGCCGTAACGAAAAGACTGCAATGGCACATGTTAAACGCCACCGAAAAATGGCCCACTTGTATGAGCAACTGGCAGAGCTGCACCGTGAAGAAGCTCGGGAACATCTTCCTTGTGAGGAGAAAGAACAGGGGGTTTGAAATTCTAGGGACGGGAGGTGTGGTAGCCAAGTCGTGAGATGAGACAGGACTTTTTTTATTGTGCGTTTTAGCTGGTCGCTTCACGGACGCGGCTTTTCCGCGTGTTCCGCCTACAGTATTTCATTGGGTAGTTAACACGTCATATCACATTCTTCCATGTCGAGCTGACTGCAGGTTTCTTCCGCGTCGAGCTGAATATAGGTTTCTTCCGTATCGAGCTGAATGCAGGTTTCTTCCGTATCAAGCTGACTGCAGGTTTCTTCCATGATGAGCTGAATACAGGGTTCTTCCGTATTGAGCTGAATACAGGTTTCTTCCGTGTCGAGCTGACTGCAGGTTTCTTCCGCGTCGAGCTGAATACAGGGTTCTTCCGTATCGAGCTGAATGCAGGTTTCTTCCGTGTCGAGCTGACTGCAGGTTGGACTTGGCAGCGGTAGAGCAAATAGTGCACGCACCACTTGTATTTTGTGATGTGGCTGCAGAATGATATCATATCTTCGTAGTCTTTGCATATTGAAAAGTCATCAGACCGTCGGTCAAGTGCGGAGTGTGTGTAGACTTGGACTTGGATGCATGAAGTGTAGCAGTGGCCCGGTATCAGATTACAGGAGTCCAGTCTGTCTGTCTCCCACGCAAGCCTTCTCCGTGGAGCGCACTGGCCTGTTCTACAACGCTTTCCGAAATTTGGGTATCTCTCTCAGCCTGATCTCACGAGTCGAAGATATAATGAATGAACTGTTGAGCAACGCGAAGGGCAGGCTTGAGCCTACCCCGTACGAGCTGAACGGACGTGCCAAATTCAAGTCAGTAATCGAATAGCCCAGATATATATACCTCATCGTACTCTCTCAAGCTAAATGCCTCTACAGTGTCATAGTGGTCCATGGAATTGGTACAGCCTGCAGCGCTGAAAGGTCGTCTTTCTTTGAGGCGCAAGAATCAAGACCTGATCGGTCTGAGTTCTATGAGATCCTGAACTCATATATCCCTTGTGCACGAGTAGTGGAATACAATTATTCCGTCAATTCTATCCATCGAGGGATCCCGCTTGCTGATGTCCAATACCTAGCAAGATTTCTCCTCGATGAAATGTTGAAAGAGCATCAGAAATGGGTGAGATCTGACCTTGGATACACCGTAAATTAGACGAAATGATGTGGTGAGCTAATAAGAACCCTTGTAGGAGCGTAAAGAAATTGTATTTGTTGGAGAAGACCTGGGCGGCATTATCATAAAAGAGGTCAGATTCAATCACCAGCTCCAGGATTGTAATCATATGGCAATCCTAGACTTTTATTCACAAACATAATTTTAATAGCATCTCAGGCCCTGTCAATGGCGTTGGAAAACGACAAATATTCTGATATTGCCGCTCAAACAGCATCGCTTGTAAGCAACCCACCAAGAAAACGCCAATACTCATAGTAGTAGTAAAGGCGCATACTAACAGAAATTAGGTTTTCTTCCAGACACCCCATCGGCTCACTGATGATGCTTCGTGGTACAGCTTGGCGAACTGGCTTTTCTTCGCGTCAGAGCTTAATCACCTTTATTCTCTAGATTGGATCCAGATTGCAGCAAAAATGATTCAACAGGTTGCTGAAGACTTCGACCCTTTTCAAAAGCTTTATTGCGTGTTGAACATTTATCCCAAGTTTATCAGTCCGCATGATCGTCAACAACAGTGTATTCTGAGCCATATAGTAAGTATTACAGTCTTTCAATAGTATTCAATGCTAAGTGTGCGACTGCCAGTCACTGCCTAAAAGTTGCATGATCTTCGACATTACCAATGAAACCAACCTTCCTCAAGACGTGCCGCATAGCAGAAGTCTTATATTTACTTCAGGCAGCCCGAGTTTTGAGTCTTTCTGTGATTGCATCAATGCTTCTTCTAGTAAGTGTCAATCTATTTTTCATCCATAGTCAGATTCTAACCAACGAGTGTAGGTCCGGGGAAACCTCTTATCAACACTCTCCAGACATTGCGTTCAATCTCTCGTTTGTCAGGGGATATGTTTAATATGGCATTGTATCGCCAGAAGCCCGCCAAGGTACATGCCTCGTTGCAAGCTCATGAGAGCTACCGACAATGGATAAGCTCCCTAAATGGGTCGCTTGAAGTTGTTATACCCTCCTACTCTGAAGCTTTGTTGGCCTTTTCCGCGATAACAGAGCCGAAGACTTTTGCCGATTACAAGATCATCAAATACACTTCCAGTGCCTTTGTTACCAGCCACCAAGTCGAGTCGAACCTTTTGGCATCTTTGTGTTTTCAGCTCTTGTGTCTCAACCCATCCATATTTTATGTGGTAAATCTAAGCTACTCACTGAGAGATCTCATATGCGAGCGTTCTACACACACTATTGGGCTTATAAATCTTCTCAGGTCGCTCACCGGGCGTGGGGCTAAAGAAAAGGTAGTTTGCGTTATTCAGGAAACGCCTTTCCGAAAGATTCCTGAGCACACTTTGGAGGCCATACAGTCTCTAGCCAACGCAGATATGTCCAACTTCAAGGTCATCATTATTCGCAACGCTGGACTATCTTCAAGACCAATAGTCAGACTCGTACAAGATGAACCTGATATCGAAGCTGTACTAGACTGCGGGCTTGACGCGCTTATTTCAAAACGCCCCAAACTTTCTCCATCAAGGGGCTCATTGCGTGAGATTGTACTAGCTCAGCACAAGGGAAACCCGGGCTTCTTTGTTGGACCTGATTATAGTATCCTGGAAGCGATCCAAGCCTGGCTCGAACTCTTGATCAAGATGAGTGAGCCATTGTCCATATTCACTGTGCATCGTACATTGGCTTTGATGCCAAACAGTCTTCAAGAGATATATGAAACCTTTCTACAACTACTCCCTGCTCACACAGAAGAAATAACACGGACTGCTCTGTCATGGATAGCATCTTCGCAGCGACCCCTCAACCTGGAGGAAGTCGGGGTGGCTTGTGCTTTGGCAGCAAACGACGTGCAAGCTATTGATGACCTCTACCAAGGCGTTGTTATAGACTTGGAGGAAATCCTACTATCTTCCTTCGGCTCAGTCATCTATATTGACCAAGATATGCATCTGCACATACCCGATGGCCTTCGACAGCCCGTTCTGGATTTCGAAAAAGAAAGAAACAAACACTCGGCTGGTTTCAATAGCAAGGCTCGCAACTGCCTAGATCTTCTTAGCTTATACCGACATCATGACCCTTTAATCTTAGCAAAGCTGACGAGCGAGCATCCCTTTCTCGAATATGCTGTAACCCATTGGGTTAGCCATTACGAGAGTAAAATTACCCTAGATCAAGAAGGGGAGCGGGGAGAGACTCTAGAGTCTGATCTATCATCCGAACTGTCCGATTATGTCAATAACAATGAACTGATGCAATTTTGGGCTACCATGTATGCTCTTCTCCAACATCAGGTTTTTGACGATCCCGTCATAGACCCTTTGGTAATCGCGGCCGAATGTGGAAGCTTGCGTCTGGTTCAATTCCTGCTTTCTGCAAAGGAGAACAAGAAACCAACAGATGACCTACTTCTGCGCAGTTTGAACATTGCAACAAGCCGGGGCGACTTGGACATGGTAAAGGTCCTTATACGCAATGGGGCAGACCGATCAACTGCAATTAACTCGTTAGCTTCTTCCGGTCACTGTGGCTGGCTAAAGGACCTCGATATAACAAAACGGGATATGGAAGCTGCAGATACTCAAGGTCTCACAGCACTTCATTATGCTTGCCGCAGTGGGAGCGCTACCCTTGTTGAGGGCCTTCTTAAGGAAGGGGCAGATGTTAATGCCCGGAGCGGGACCCAAATGACACCATTACACATGGCATGCCAATTTGGACATGTGGCTATCATCCGGTACCTGCTACAGCACGACAACCTGAATATCAATTCTGTGAGCAGCTTCGGCACTCCGCTCGCATATGCCTGTAGGTGGCAAAAATACGGCGCGGTAGATGCCCTCATACGTGAAAAGGGACAAAAGATCGATATCACGATTCCTGGCGAAGATGACCAACGTACAGCTCTGCACCACGCCGCAGAGCAAGGCCATTTGGATATACTAAAACGCCTTCTCGGCTACTTGATCTCGGGATCTAGCGAGACAGACCCAGACACATATGAACATCAAGAATCGCCCTCTCAGTTGCAGCCCATGCTCAAGGCACAAGATTGCTCAGGGTTCACGCCATTACACTTGGCTGCAAAGAATGGACACGTTGAAGTGACTAAGGAAATATGGAAGAGAGCTAATGACAAGAAAGACCTAATAACCACTAGAGATAACGATAACAACTATCCAATCGATCTAGCCACTATAGAGGGCCACACACGGGTAGTAGAGTTGCTATTGGACGAGGCTGCAAGACCTCAGCTTGTCTCATGTAACGGCAAAGACGGAGACAGTCCAATTCACCTTGCCGTGATGCATAGCCACTACCAACTGCTAGAGGTCCTCGTCCAGAATCACAAGCGCCATGAAATATACCTCGATGTTTTCAACGTCAATGATATATGTGCTGTTCACATAGCCGCTCAGGATGGCCAAATTGCTCTTCTACGCAAGCTCAAGGAAAACGGAGCCAAAATGGATGTCTTGGATAGCAACGACGCAACACCGCTCCTATTGGCGTGCCGTCACGGTCAGAGCTACACGGCGACCTTTCTAATAGAAAATGGTGCTAGTGTTAATCTCGCCGACGAAGACGGGGCAAGCCCCTTGGGAGAGGCTATCAAAACAGGAATGACCAACGTCGTCAAACACCTTCTCAAAGCTGGCGCAAAAGCAGACATGTATGCAGACACACGCCCACTCCTTTTGGCGATAGAGAGGGGTTCCGTGGCTATTGTATCTTTACTCAAACCGGAATCATCGGATTGGTTAGTTAAGGATAGCCAGCAGAGGACTGCGTTACATTTGGCGGCGAGAAGCCGTAGCGACGCCACCATCAAGCTCGTTCTGGAACACTCGAAAGAGATTCTTCAAGCTAAAGATACGAATGGGCGGACTGCACTACATGATGCAGTCGAAGCTGGATCATATTCAATCGTTGATAAGCTTCTAGATGCCGGGGTCGATCCATCTATCAGGGATAATAACGATAGGATACCTCTAGAACTGACACGAACAGAGGATATCCTGAGACTCTTGATGTTTGCTTGCGAGTCAGACAATATAGAAGACAAAGTAAAGGCTTTGCAGCACAGCCTGGAGCATGGCTTTCTTTCCAGCGTACGCGGGCTCCTGGAACAAGACCCTGAGCTGGGGAAAATGAACAGTGGCATGACTGCACTTCATATCGCCGCCAAGGCTGGGCAAATTGGTCTTATCACGGACCTTATTCACAAATACCATTTCTCCCCAAGCGATAGAACTAATTCAGGCCGAACAGCGCTATCGTTTGCTGCTGAAAAGGGTCATCTCGAGATAGTCAAGGAACTCTATTCCGAGACACCACATGGAGTCGATGGTGCTGACTCAGAAAAGAATACCCCTTTTTTCTACGCTTGCAAAAATGGCCACGTTAATATTGTATCATATTACCTGCGGGATGCTGTCCCTCCGGTCATCAACGATGATCTCATTCACCTGAACGGGCGAGGGGAAGGAGTACTTTGGGCCGCTGTAACTTCAAAGAGCCCAAAGACAGTGGAACTCATACTCAACCAACTAGTTCAATTTAATGACCCAGCCCACATAAATCGGGCAGAAACAGCAGAAGAAGGCCTGACGCCTTTACACTACGCCGTGCGCGATAACAATTTAGAAATTGTTGATCTCCTCTTAGCAGCCAGAGGAATTGATGGGAGTTTGCAAGATAAGCGCGGCAGGACTCCAATATTCTTGGCTGCTTACGATCAACGAAAAGAATCAGTTGACAAGCTGATCAAAAGCGGCTGGATGGCGAATGTCCCTAATAAACACTACTGGGGCTGGTATCCTATTCACGCAGCGTATGACAATAGCGACATACTGGAGCTCCTTATCAAGGCGCAGAGCTATGATATTGACGCTGTTGATATGGATGGGCAAACCGCCTTATATGCTGCATCTCGCTCCCACGAAGGTTCAGTGGAAGTCTTACTCCAAGGTGGTGCTAATCCCCTTCTGGCGGACAAAGCCTCCAGGACTCCTTTACATGTCGCTGCGGCCTATCTAGACTCTAAGACTGTCGACATGATGCTCGATTATGCATTGGAGAAGGAAAAAGGAGAAGAACTAGTCGATACCACTGCTTTTAGCGATGAATTTAAATTCGACATTCTTTCAAGCGCAGTAAATGGCGGCAACACCCCAGTCGTAGAGCTTTTGCTCGAGAGACAACTCTTCCGCTCTTACGATTCGGCGCTAGAAGTCGCAATTGAGGCTGATAGGCCAGATGCAGCGCTGGCTTTGTTAAAAAATGCCGGATCTGAATTCGGTTCGAAGTTGCTGGAAAGGGCTTTACGTTGGGCTACCCTGTCAGAATATGGAAATCTTCAATCTTGCCTCATCAAGATCCTCCAAGCACAGCCATCGGACAGGTCATGGGACGACGAGAAACTGTTCGATGCCTCAGCTAGGAGCGACAACATTGAACTCATTAAATTGCTCCGGCAGCGAGGCTCTATAGAAATGACCACAAGAACCGACAAACAGCACGGTTGGTCCTTGAGCCAAATTCTCGAAGCGTATGGGGAGATAGACGGAGAAGATAACGTGCAACTAGCGGTCCCCCTCCCGCCGTCCCAATGGGATATAAACCATAAAGCCGATTGTATCACCGCTTCTCGTTTCGGAGAAGATGGGCCACTCTTAATTTTGACGTTTGACTCGACTGATATATGGCCAGGAGCTGTGCTATCTGATCACCCTATTCCGCCTGGCAACAAATTCTATTTCGAGGTCTTGGTTCTGGAGTATGGAACCCGCTGGTATGTATTTAGAAACTCCTATTACTCTTGCTCATATTTTTTTAATCGTCTAAAACCACGCATCGTCAATATGTTCATATACCTGACAAGCTATTCTACCTCTAGTATTTATATAGGCCTCGGGCGAGGAGGCTGCGATGTTGAGCGAATGCCAGGCTGGGACCCTGACACTTGGGGTCTATACAGCGGTAACGGGGGTTTGTATCATAATAACGGCTTGCATAGACACACTTCGTCTGAACGGGAATTTGGAGCGGGAGACACTATTGGTATCTTAGTAGACACACTGGTAGGGAAGGTCTTTTACAGCAAGAACGGGAAGCATTTTAGTAAGTATAATATAAGAAATAGCTAGCCTAGGCCTGGCTTTACTTTTATTGGGAGATAGATACTGACTTTGTCCAGGCACCGCATTTGAACATGTCCGCGGGCAGCTATTTCTTATGGTTGGGCTTGGTCCTAATACTAAGGTTGAAGTGAATTTTGGGAGAGATCTTAGGGAAAAGCCATTTCAGTATCCTCAGTGCCGAGATATGGATTATACTGTAGATACTTGGCTTTAATTTATTTTAGAGTTTATTTTAATTATTAAATAAAATAAAACTTAAAAAAGAGTTAAATTTATTCAATAAAAAGCTAAACTAATTAAATTAGAAATAAATTATTTTATTATTATTTTATTATAACTAATTATTAAATATTTATAATTAGATTAGAATTTAATAGGATTGATTGTGGAGGTTTAAGAGATAATGAAAAACCCCTAGAATAGGAACCTATGTAGCTTAAACTTGAACTACAGTTAGTAGTTTAGCTATAAGACTATAATCAACTAGTTAGATCCCTTAGATAGCATCTCATCCTACTCAGAGAAACATGTGGCCATACGAAACAAAATCACTGAATCTTTTGGATAAATTATTAAATCAAATTAATAACACACACGGCCCGTAATAGCTTCGCATGCTTTCACCTTGGAGCAAACGACTCTCAATGAAATCCGTTCCCTCCCACCAGACAACTATCTGATCCACGCCACCAACTGCATCGCAGAATGGGGAGCCGGCATAGCAGCCGAGCTTCCCACATTCTTTCCCCAAGCTTGTAAAGAGTACAAGAAGATTTCTAAAGCAGCCAAAACCGACACCTCGGAGAGGTGGCCACCTCGCTCTCTGGTAGCCTCATCATCCTACCACAGCCAGAAGAAGTGGCAGCAGGTGCGCCCAGCATACACATCGTTTGTCTTTTCACTAGGTAGCTACGGCTATGGAAGACCAAATACAACAACGGGAAAGCCAGGGAAGGACAGCACGGAGATGATCTTGCGCCAGAGGGGGAAAGCTCTGACAGATTCAAGAGCACACCTTGGCAACGAGACCAACAACCCAGATAGCACAGCCATTTACTCGCCAATGTTCAACTCGGGTGCATTCCGAGTGCCGTGGGAGAAGACCAAGGGACTCATCGAGGAGGAGTTTGAGGGTTGGGAAGGCCGATGGCTGGTTATGGCGCCGCCATCATAGTTTCTTCACATAAAAATTCTGACTAGACCAGGTACAAATAAGTCTTCCCATACTTTCTCCACTCCCCTGCTTGATGGCTAGTCTGGATTTGTTTGTACGATGACCGCAATAAACACCACAACGCCTCTTCAAAATGCCTTGTTAACCCCATACCAGTCAGGGTTATTATCGTGTGAGATGAGCAGTTGGCCTGGCCAGGTCGCCGACGGTGCCTTGACCCGATTCTCGAGCGCTTGTCGAACAACCGCATCGCCGAGAACCTTCTCTATGTTCAGGCGCGGAAGTTTCCCGACAACCTCGAGCTCCTTCTCTCCCAAGATGGATTCCGGGCTGGGCACGCCGTGAAACTCGGTCGCAATGGCACGGCGAAGGGCCCCGGTCGTACCGCTGATCTCCTCCGCTATTCCCGACGTCGAGTGGAGGGACATGGCCAGCCAGGCCTCACGTATGGACGCCTCGCTCACGTGAAATTCACGCAACACCTTGGCCGCCTCGCTGGCGCCGACCACCTCGAAGCGAGCCGGGTCCGCGTCGTACTTCTCGGCCGTGGCGAGGTCGTGGAAGAGGCAGGCCACGAAGAGCGTGTGGGGCTCGACGAAGACGGGCTCGATGGGCGCGGCGGCCGGGCCGAGCTGTCGGAGGAGGGACGAGTGTGCCTCGGCGTAGATGTACGTCCGGAAACTGTGGTTTAGTATTGCGGGCGGCAGGGACTGGAGAGCAACGTCCAGTGCTGCTTTGGCGGCCGGGTGGTCAGGGACGAGTTGCAGCACTGCAGGGTCCAGCTGGTTGGCGGTAGCAGGACCCGGAGATGCACTTGACTGACACATGGCGATATCTAGCTTGTACTCAATATGAGAGGATAAAGGCTGGTTTTGGAAGGTTTCTTACACGGTAGTTTGAGCCAACAGAGTGGATGTTGAAGGTGTAACTTATAAGTTATATGATTCACTCAAGCTGACAAATCGAGATTGCCTTATTTGTGACAGGGGCAAAATGTCGTAATTTCGCCAATCAGTCAGGCAGCTTGCACTAATACTCGAGAACTGCTTGAAGTACATCCCTGGGATCACAAAGATTCAATGATGAAGTGACCAAAGGGAGTTTGATTTCAAGCAGCGGTACGTCTAGTGACCTGCGGGATATTGCCAGCCTGCCTAAGCAAAAAGTAGTGATTCAACGCTAAGCTAAATCTATTAGTTTCTTAGCTGTATAATCACTCATTCAAAAATCGGACATAACGCTATTATGTAATGCTGTATCCCTTTGGACCCAGGTAGTAGAGATGATAACGTCAAGATACTGACACTGTCGCTTGGGGAGAGGTGGTTGTGGTTGTGGTTAGTGGTTATGAACATCTCCCTTTAATGGCCATGGCTAAGGTTATATACCTCTAGCCAGCCCTCGGTAGAGTTTTTGAGATGTTGATGCATTGGTATGCCCAGGCTTCGTGTGAGTGTTTGACTTTCTTGGGGGAAAAGTTTCGGGTATAGACCTTAAACTCTCATATCCTTGCCTATTAAATTTTATCCTACTACTAGTCCTAGCACTAATAGTCATCAATGTCATCGGAATAGATAGCTGAGCAGCTGCCCTAGCTATAAATTCTTCTCTAAAATCTATTTGTAAATACAAGTAAGCTCCAGCATTTACGAAGCTAGCCGAACATAGTATTCAACCTTGATGCAATATGCTATGCAAAGGTAATTAAAGCAATCGAAGATGCCGGGAGATGGAAGGAATTTTCCATCACTACCTCCTCAAAAGCTTCCCCTTCAGGCTTCCCAGACTCACCCTCAAAGCTCTGTCCAGCCCACGTACTATGAATAGTCAGGTTTGTAAAATGCTTGATTCGGAAGTAGGGGAGGGGGCCTTACATTCCAGTAAAAGATGTGGTTGTGTCGGAGTTCAGCCTTTTAACCGTGCATGGTCGCTGAGCACCCGGCCCAATAAGCTGAACCTCGATTCCCGGTTTTTCGCCTTCCCCTAGATACACCTGAGTGTTCAACACAACTGCACGAACGAGAACATTTGTCTCCCATATCCCATAAGCGGTCATGTTCAGATCTGTAGTAGAGAGTTCTGTAACGTATGAATCGCCTGATTTGCCGATAGCTTCATTAACAATTAGAAAAGCGTGATAAGAAGGCAGAATATGAGGGCGAGTAATGTTCAACCCATCGTCAGAGCTATCAACTGGCTGAACAAGGTTGTACCGATAGCCTATGCCGTGATGAAAATGAAGCCGCTCGATTCCATATGATGCTCCAAGAAGTAGCCAGTCAGCGGCCCAAAGCGCACTCTCGACCGTGTTACTTAGACCAGGTTGACCGTGGCTAAATGTCTGGTTAGTATCATGAATATAAATTTAAACTTTTGGCTCATACTTTGCGATTGAATTTGTTTCACCCTAATGACTTTGTTAGCAACTGTCCTGAGATTCAAAGAAGCCGAAATTTCCTACCAGAACATAACGTAGCCCCGCACCTTGAACAGCATGTCGTCTGCTAACGATGGCGCTCATATTGGCACGAACCGAGAGTTTGTTCATCAATTCTCCAGGTCGCACATTTCCATATGGGTCAAATCCGCCAGAATATGCATGTTCCGTAAATTGGGACGTCCTTTCTCGAATGTCGGGATCATCTAGTAGGCCGGCCAGAAGTGGCCCTTGGGGCGTCCATTCTGGCGACATAAAGCCTGTGAAACCTCCAGGCGACAGCTTGGGTTTCTCTGTTTCTGATTCTCCAGTGTGAAAGACGCCGCTAACGGCTTTAGCGAAATCGACCCATGTAGCGGTGTAGTTTAGAGTATTCCACTCTGGTCCGTAAGGTCCACGGTAGCTTCCCCAGCGAGTAGGGCCCCAGAAGTCAGGCTCGTTTCCCAGTTCAACATATTCAAGACTCATTTTGCTTGTTAAATGTGCCCTGGAACCTATAAAACTCTCGGCCAGAAGCTGAGCTTGTGCCACTGTCTCTGTTTTATTCAGATCTTTCAAGTTGAGACCCCACATGAACGAGGTTCCCTCGGGGAGGTTACCAGAGAGCGCATAAAAGTCCCTCCCAATGAAGATATGGTCAGCTTGTGGATTAGGTGCTTGTGGCGTGGGTTCCGGGAATGTCGCATTCATCACCTCGTATTGGAGATCTATTGTCGCTCGATCCTGAGAAATTGCACCCACTCGTAGGAAAGGCATATGCCCGGTCCTCTCACCAAGGTTGCGTAAAATCTGATTGAAATACTCGTTGGGTTCTCCAACTTTTTTTCCAGCCCAGTCTGGCCAAGTGTCCATCTCAATGCTAAAACTAGCAAGGTTGGGCGATAGATGCTCTGCCCATTCTGGCTTCTCGCGTGGGAGGTAAAGGGGTAGATCTTGGGCGGTTGCTGCAATGCAGATCTGAAAAAGGTATGCCAATATCACTAAAGCTTCAAGCCCAAGTTTCGCCATGGCTTTGGTTGTCTCGATGCTAATAAGTAACTCGTATACTTCTGGAATTATACTATCCCGCCTGAAACAAGCAGAAAGATCGAATTTATAGCAGTTCCCAAATGCTCTACGTGACCTCAAGGCTGCTATGATCTCCCAGGGTATTTAACAAGGTTAGTGGTTCCCATGAGGGTAAGCTTATACATAAAACCGGACCGAGCAATCGGACTCGCACCGAGGGAGCTGAGTCGCACCGAGGAACCCGGTTCGAACAGGGTATCTAATAGCTAGCTGTGGGATTGGGTTTGCGAGATCGCCAACTATAGTAATGACTGCTCAATACTTGTCAAATCCTGGTGCTAGACTCGCCAAAGTAGCGAAAAAGATCCGCATACTCCTCCCCTTACCTATTCAAATCGGTGAAAGTCATCAAGGTGTATGCAGCTCAAAGGTTAAAGCCATTGTAATGAGCTAATAATAGCAACTGATCCGAGGAACATAAATGCCGCCTTTGAGAGAGTTGAGAAAAAAAAAATAAAGGAAAAGTATTCAGCGTGATTATCAATGGTCAGTTTAGTAGGCTTCATTAGCTCTACTAGGAAGGAACAACGATATATTATCTTTAGGATCTATACCCAGCTTGAACATTTCCCGGCAGAAGTTACACAAGCGCAAATCACGAAAATCGTTCTATTTCAGGAGCTTCAGCGGCATTGGTGGTACCATCTGGAAGCAGTACAGTCGTTTGGGCTTCCGACTCTCTTATGCAACGCCTGATTTTCAATTATTTAAAGGCTGCTGTTGCTGGCCTGGTCCTGAATGAACTACACAGCTCAAGTCCATATCGACAATCTGCAAATCGCTGCCTTCGTCGTCTCAAACAAGCCAAGTGTCACCCATCGCCACCTTCGTTGCCACATAACACCACCTTCGCCGCTCCACTGACGATTAGTTACATCAAGCTTTGCCTTCGGAGCGGTAAAAGACTCACTTTGTCGACTCTCGCACGTCGTTGCACACACTCAAGTCTACCACAATGGCAAAGAAAAGCCGCAGCCTCCTGCACCTGTTGTACCTATTATGATAGGTACCCAGCTAGCAGATCTGGAAGTTAAAAGCCTCCCTAAAATTAGTACGAGCAATCATAAGCTCGTAGGTGCCGCCAAGGCGGTTGGGTCTCTCGAGACCATAGGTATTAAACAGGTAGTTGGTCTGTTTAACTTAGCAAGCTGCCTTCTTGATCGAACTGACTGCTTTACTGAGGAGCATCCTCGTAGCCCCCCAGTGATACTCTCGTTAAACTGCTCCTCAGTAAAGCAGTCAGTTCGATTAAGAAAGCAGCTTCCCAAGTTAAACAGACCAAATACCTGTTTAACACCTATAGTCTCGAGAGACCCAACCGCCTTGCAGATTGTCGATATGGACTTGAGCTGTGCGGTTCATTCAGGCCAGCAACAGCAGCCTTTTTAAATAGACGAAAATCAGCATCTTAAGGTTCGCAAAAGGAGTCATACTGACGAAGGAGTCAACGCCGAGCACAGCCTTTGGTGTTAATAAACTTTATATACGATACGGCTGGATAAAGCCATTTTGATGTTGAACCTTAGATACGGCCGGGCACATGGCTCGTAGCCGGGGCTCTTGTGTTGTGATGCCTGAGTATGGTATCAAGTTATCAAATTACTGGTATCTGGGAATTTCCCCTTTTTTTTTCAGCAGCTGTACAGCTCCCTCACTTACTATGCAACGCCTGATCAGTGGCTGGCGTAGTATTGGACTCCTGCATTGGCTCTGCACTTCTTAAAAACAACTATTATTTGCTATTGACCTAGTATATCACATGTCTTCTACGAACATTGCACCCAAACACAATAAGAAACAAACCCCTGCAACGCTGAAATATGGTAGTCCAACCACTTGACGATCATGACCAGGATTTCCGTGGACAGATTCGCCAGGCACAAACCGCTGATTGGCCGGCGAGAAAGATGGGCTGCCCTGGATTCAAGGGCTGCCTGCTGTTGCTTGAGACTCTGAGCCACGTCTCTCCAGCCATCCTGCTGGGTCAAGGAGGGCTCGTCATTCCCCAGAGAGGCCTCGCCCGAGGATATATGGGCACCTTCTTGCCCCTCTACATCGCGTACATGCTGATTGACGACCTGACCAAGGGTCTCAAGACGGCCAAGTTCCTCGCGGACCGAGGCCAGATTTAGCAAGGATTCAGGGCAGGGCCACTTTTCGTGGTTAGGAGGGTCGGGAGAATAATGGAGAATTCCATCTCCACGGCACCCTTGCACAGGAAGCGCTTGTTTGGTTTGAACCTTGAATGAGAGATGAGTAAGCAGTCGGGCGCCTAGCTCATCACGATCCCTTCGAGTCAAGGGAGGCGGACGAGCAAACGAAGAACTGAAGACGGAGAGGGAAACAACTGCATGACCTCATTTCCCCTTATTTTGCTTCGGAATTTTTCAGCAGAGGCTGCTAACAAAGAAACAAAAGCCTCAGGCAAGAAAAACTGAGACAGCTGAGGCAGGCAGGACGCGAAAGCCAATCAGAAAGCCGACAGAACGCGTCCAGAACGCGGTTCCCGATTGCACAATACGAGCTGTCACATTCTACAGAGACCTAGCAAGCGGCTCACGCATCAGAGACGGCGTCTTCTTCATAGCGAGGTGCGCGACCAAGCATACAATGAAAACAGGTCAAAGATCAAAAATTCCGCCCCCTATGGCCCCGAAGGACAATAGAGCAAGGACAACACCGCGCTGTGCAATGCAGGCTATCCGTACTGAATCCCCCAATTCATGATCTGGGGAATTCGGAACAAGGTAAGTATGAAGAAGAAAGAGAAAAAAGTTGAAAAGAACGAGGAGTCGGGCGCAATTTATACCTGGGTTGGTGCCTGGTGCAATTCTTCATTCCTCAGGCACATCCCCCTGGATTACAAGGGAAGGAGCAAGGGGTGTTTGCCGTTTAATTACGTGGCTGGTCTGGCGATGGCATCATCCCTTGTCCTACCCTGTAGCACTCAATTTCTGCCATCAAACCCTTCCCACGTCTACAATGTTAGACAGATGGCAATAGCTTCAGCCTTTATGTCCCTGTGTTTAAGCCTCCGTCTAGAAACCATGATTCTGTAGTAGTATTTTGCTGTGCCTCTTCAAATGTCCCTCTGTATATGCAGGTATTACGCTCTCGCAATGGTTTGATACAGTCACTACTACTCGGTACGGCCATCACTCTAGCTAATTGAGTACCTAAACCTCAACAAAGGGCCAAGAACATTTCTCAAGGGCAATTACTGCAGACAAATATCACCGGTTGAAGATGGTCCCCAAAGACTTGCTACGTAGAAACATCGACTAATTGATGCTCACCTACAGTCACAACTAAGGGGAGACCTGGATGCCTGTTGTAAATGCAAGACGCTCAAAGCCACATCAACGGTACAGTTTTCTCCTTTTACTTCTTGAGACAGGCCACAATGGCAGCAATGGCCGCCAGCGTCCCATCAGGGTCCTTGACACGCACCGTATCCAACCCAATCTCCTTGGCGGGATAGTCATTCCCCCCCGGGAAGATGGCATCCCCGATAAACATCATCTCCTCGAGCGGTATCCCACTCGCGTCCCGTAGCCTCTTCAGCCCGTACCCCTTGTCGACCCCCTCCTGCGTGATGTCAATCGACGTAGCCCCCCCCAAGTTGATTGACAGCCCGGGAAGCCGCGTGCGCAAATCCGCCTGTATGACCCTCCGCTTCGCAAAGTCCGGGTCCCAGACCTCCTTCTCGGCCACGGGCGCCTGCTGCCCCAGCGCGGAGAAGGTGATCTGGCTCCCGCGGTCCTCTATGCGCTCCCCCCATGTCTTCTCGGGCTTAAACCCCGTCGCTAGGAGGGCCTCGTCGAAGGCGGCGAGGATCTTGGCCTTGGCGTCGTCGCTGAAGAGCTCGGCGTACTCGCGGCGCCACTCGCCCGTCTTATGGGTGTAGAGCTTGGTGCCCGTGGTGGGCATGAGCCAGAGGCGGGAGAGGTCGGCGCGGGGAGGGAGGCGGCTGGCGACTTGTTTCTGGAACTGGGGCCAGTCGCCGCCGGAGATGACTGCGACGTGGGAGACGGCGAGGAGGTCGGCGATGGCTTCGGCCATGTCGTCTTTGAGGGGCTGCTTGCTCTCGGCGAGCGTGCCGTCGAGGTCGAATGCTACGAGGGAGATCATCGTGGGTGGTTCTGAAGCGAGTGGCTTGGGTCAATGGGTTCCTCTTCGTTTGGGAGATGGGTTGGTATGGATTGGTTGTTGGAGAGGGGTGGACGATCACACCGATTGTTGTGTGCGGCTAAGCTTCGGAGCACATCGTGTCCGGTGTCGCTCGTCTTTCACATCTACGACACTCAGCCACTGCATTAGACATGGGTTGCCAACGATGGTGTCATTTACTATTGCAACTTGGCCTTTGTCTGCTCGAAGGACACGTTTACGGACCTAGATATTGCTTGCAGTCATTCAAGTGGATACATCCTTTGCTGAACGATGGGGCTGCGGGACCTCACGAAATTGAGACCATCATCTGACATGTGCTCGTCCAGATCGAACAGCAACCTGCTTATTTATTTATTGGATATCTAAGTTGCTCTACTTGCTACCACTCTTGGGCAGGTAGCTAACAGACGATGGACAGTCCCCCTTGGTCCCATCCGGCTCAGCAGCGACAAACTCGCCCGACTGCAGCGACCCCTTGACATTGTAGTGGTACCACACCTCGTTGAGCGCCTTGCCGTCGCAGCTGACCGTGACGGGCTTGCCGTGGCCCTTCTCCAGCGCGGCCTGGATATCAGCCAGTGCATACTTCTTGGACGACGACGGCGTGATGCCCGCGTCCGACAGCCACTCGTACGTGGGCAGCGCCTTGAACAGCTCGACGGCCTTGCCGAAGTAGGCGACGGCCTCCTCGGTGGGCTGGTAGTCGGCGTAGCAGTCCGGGTCGAGGGTGCTCACGCAGGTGCCGTGCTTGGCCCACTCGTGCTCCCAGAAGGTCTCGTCGTCGCCCTTGTAGTCCTTCCAGTAGGTCTCCATGTAGGTGAGGGTGGCGTCGCCGCCGCCCGCGGTGAGGATGTCGGAAATGTTGGTGTACTTGCGGCTGGAGTCGCAGTTGGCGGGGTAGGTGCCGTCGCAGTTGTCGGGCCACAGGCCGTGGATGGTCCAGGAATCTACGGGATGTAAGTTAGAGACTGTGACCAAAGGGTACTCAAAGAAAGGGTGACTTGATGACTTACCATCAGGCCCGGTGGCAGGGTTGGTGTCCCAGAACTGGGTCAGGAGGAGCTGGCCGGAGGGGATGAAGCAGCAGGTGTCCTCGACGGCCGTGGTGTTGTGGCAGGAGAGAGGGACATCGCTCGAGCAAGTCTTGGGGCCGGCAAAGGCGGCGCCGACAAGTGTAGATGCGAAGAGGAGCTGAGTGAAGGCCATGATGTATGAAGAATGGATGAGTTGATTGAGAGGAAAGACTACTGATGAGCCCACGACCATCGTCGAGACACATGTTGCTATTTATCTCAGCCGCAAGCCGGGATCAAACCTGATCAGCATAATCATGCCGTTTCACCGATAGCTGGATCAGCGACAATGAGTCCATCGCCAGTGTGGGAAGCAGGCCAATTAGGCAGGTGTCGAGGTGTAAGAGGGTGATGCATGACAGAAATGCGGGTTCTGCCGATCGTGCTAGGTTTCATAGCGGGATGCGACACCCAATCAAGGGGGCCATGGGGACCTGAAGCTATGATCAAGGCACCGGAAAAGCGGCTTCTCGATTCACAAAAGTGCTGCGGCCCTGAATGCCCTTCAGCTGGCTGCCTGTTTCAGAAGGTCAGCAGAAGTGATCTACAGACTGGTAGATGTGAAGCACATGAGTGTCTGGCCAGTTACTGGATTTTGACTGACGCACTGACAGATGAATGGCACGAGGGAATAAAGAGTAGGTGGGCTTGAGACAATGGGCATTTAAATGAAAGGGCTGAATTGATTTACACGAGTGCCCTTTCCAGCCACCGCCTGATATGGGGGCCTCAATATCCAATGTCAAATCATGAACTTTGAATGATGCTTGTATTTTACTACCAAACTCCTGCTCTAGATGAATCAATGTATATGCTCCCGTTTCCGACACCAAGAATACCGAACTTGCACCGAACTCCATCCTAAAAATAACAAAACAGACAAGCAAATGGTGGTATATATAAGAACAAGGAGATGGGCTAGACACTCTCGGCGTAGTTGTCCTTGGGGACCTTGGGCTTCTTGGTGAAGAGCTTGTTGCCCGCCTTCTCAGAGAGCGAATCGACCTTCTCGCCCAGGAAGGTCTTGATGGCGCCGTAGACGAGCGTGATGAGCCAAAAGACAACATTAACAAGATCGACCCAGACAGCCGTCTTCATGGCGGTGGTGCTGGCCCCCTTGTAGGGCTCGTCGCTGTCCCGCTTGAGGAAGATGCCCGCGAAGACGCCGAAGACGACGAGCCAGCAGATGAAGAGGATGCCGTCCCAGACAAAGGCGCGGTACGTCTTGAGCACCTTCAGCCTGCTCCCGATGACGGGCAGGGCGCCCAGGGTGGCGACGCCGAGGAAGGTCAGGGCGGTGACGGCGGACATGCCGGCGACGAGGATGGCGAAGATCCACTCGGCCGAGAAGCCGTCGGCGGCCTTGCGGTCGGCGTCGACGCGGTTGCCGTAGAAGCCGCAGGCGATGAGGGCGAAGACGAACTGCAGGCCGCGGCAGACGAGGCGCGGGATGACCTCGAAGGTCTTGAGCCACGTCTTGCCCATGGTCTTGCCCACGTCGGCGCCCTCGTTGAAGGCGGCGCGGCCGGCCTGGCGGCCCATCTCGCCCTTGTCGGCGTGGCGGAACTCGGAGGCGGCGCCGGCGACGCCCTTGACGTTGTTGGTGAGCTCAACCATGGTCTGGCCAGCTTTGAGAGCGGATGAGAATTTGCCCATGGTGGAAGATTACGTGTGAGAATATATAATATATATAAGACGGTTTGGTGGCAGCGGTGGCTGGTTGGCTGGCCGGTGGCTGGATATTAAGAGCGTTGGGAATGAAGATGTTGGAACGATGGTGTGGTGAGTCCAGCTCAGGAATGCAATGGAGAAGGAAAAGGCCGTGGCGCAGAAGAAGAGATGTGGTGGGAATGAGGAGGAAGAGGACTCATTCTGGCGGTGTCATTGACGAACTCTTATACAGCAGCTGGACAAAGCAGACAGACATTGTTTGTGCGGATGAATGAATGAATCAAGAAGTGTCAATGGGTTGAAGCTGAGACAATGCCCGAGGCAAGATGCAGCGAGAGCCAATTGTTTAGTGGACCGGCGCCTTGTGAGACAGCTGCAGAACCCGATTTACTGGCTCAGGGCTGCCCGTTAGTGGCTGCCCACAGCTGCTGCCGCCGTGGCCTAGGCTGGGGCCGGGGGCACGTTACAGGCCTTACAGCGGCTACAGGGAGCAGCGGGCGCTAGACGAGACACCAGTTCACGGGCGCTGAGAGCCAACCATCGCCCACGACATGGCTCTGCTTGCACATGCACAGATACGTGGTATTTTTAGGCTCGAAGCATGTTCCTTGCTCTCTGTCGCATGCCCCGGCTTCCATAGATGAAACAAGTCGAAGTTTGTGGATGCTGTCGGCAGTCTGTTCTGGACCCTGCATCTGCCGCTCGCCTCCAGCAACGGGACGATGGAGGCCTGATTGCTGGAGACTGTCGAATTAGACGCCGACTTGCTCCAGAGTATGCGTCATGCCTGTACGGTACCTGGTTTTGAACCAGATCCGTATTCTTGTCTGTCCGAGAACGATACGAGTCCACGTGGACAGATCAGGTGAGAAGCGTCCGAGTTCCAATTGCAGGCGGTGTCTTTGCTTCTTTGTACCAACCACCAAGACTTATCGGTCTACGCAGAATGTAGGCTCTCAAACCTGCCGGCGTTAGAATCTGAAGAGGTAGATGAACCAATTTACTGGATGCATCGATTTTAGATCTGTCCCACACTGGGCGCCAAAAATCTAAAAAAGAATGCCGCTCACCAAAACGAGATTCAAGCCAAGAGATATTAAGCGCCGGCCGCGCAACACGGCCAGTCAATCAGCCAGCCCTTTTGTGTACACGAGAACTGGGGGAGACGGGAGTTCGCGCCTGGCTGCTTGTGTTCCAATAATATTCTCCGGTTCTTGAGGCCTGGAATCTGTGATCACCATGGCCGGATGATGGGTTCGAATGCACTTGTCACTCTCCTCCTACGCTATGTCACCTGAAATCTATTCATCCGTCTAGGTCATTGTCGTATTAACGTATTAGCATCAAGCGTGTAGTCTATCGTATTCTAAATATATACAGCAGAAAAAAGAGTCATTAGTTCTACGATACGATCAATCACTCGCTCCTCCAGTTCCCCGTGAAATGATGCCGTATCAACGCAGCCTCAGGAATGCTCCCATCGTGCGTGCTGAGCGAGTGCGCCTGCCCCATCCCGAACCCATCAATCGTCAGGATCAAAACATCCCCAATTAACCGCGGCTCCTTGAGCTGCGTGAGGTCCTTTGTGTCGCGCAGCCCCTTCTCGACCGTCTGCAGGTGCGCGAACACGACGTCCGTCCACGCCGCCGGGCCCGTGGTGTTGTACACGTCCATGGCCGACGGCTTGACCTGGCTGAGCGGCTGGCCGTGTCGCCGGGCCACCTCGTCGGCGGAAGCGAGCATGCGGTCGAGCATGGCGCGGAAGATGGGGTGACCAGGCGCGGCGGCGATGGTCCACTGCGCGAACTGCAGCCAGTGCGGGACGTCGGGGAACTGGCCCTCGAACTGGCGATCCCACTCGATGCCGATGACGGCCCTGGCGCGGCCGCGGTACTCGGGGGGCACCCAGTCGTCGATGGGCCGGATGGCCTCGGTGTCGGTGTCGCTGTAGACGCCGCCCTCGATGAGGAGGACGAGGTAGCGGAGGAAGTCGGACTTCATGCCCACGTTGGGGAGGTTGTTGAAGGTCTCGAGGACCTTGGGGTTGAAGTGCTGTCTAAGGAATCTGGTCGCGCCTTTCTGGCCGAGGAGGGTGCTGTTTAGCTAGTTGTTAGTGTCGTGTCGGGTGTTTGATGTGCGGCGAGGATCACTGGTTTGACAGGCAGGGATGGCTTCATGAAAGAGTGGGCAAGCAGGGATGGGTATTTCAATGGATGCGACAACTCTGACTTGAAGAAGAGGGTTGGTCGGGGTATCACGTACTACTCGTAGTCTGGATTCATGGCAACCCAGGATGCCGTCGACGAGAGGTCCTTGGGGTCGAAGGTGCCCGTGGTGTTTGCCGGATCCTTGGGCAGCATGATCTGCCACACCTTGGGCGGGATGTGATTGACATGCGGGCGCCATGCCTCGGATCCCAGAGTCGAGTGCTTGATGGTTGCGATGGCCGACTTGCCAATCTCCTGGACCGCATGAACCGACGGGCTGTGGGTGCCCCAGAGCAGCAGAAATATCGCCAGGAAGGCCGCGACGGCCAAGAGCAGGCTCCTGTAGAAGCGCGAGTGGCTCAGGGCGAACCGGAGCCCGCGGTTGGCCTCCTTTTCGTACTTTGGGAGCATGTTGCCTGGTCCTGGATAAGAAACGAGTGAATAGGGCCAGACAAGACAGCGCAAAGCGTTGAAGAAAGGGTAAAACCCACGGGCGCAAAGGAGGGGGGGAAAGAATCCAAGATAAGCAAACCCAAAGTCGCCGCCGCAATAGGAGGCGTGAGAGTGGTTTTGCGAAGGGCTTCCCTCAGCCGGAATGCCCGTTGGGAGATAGCCCCGATGGGATCGAAATGATGTGTTCCCACTACGGGCACAATCCAACCGTCTTCTGTCACTGAATTTGATCATTTCTGATTCTTGGCATCCGCCTAGCGTACTGACTGGCCACCCAATCCTCCCGCCCTAGTTAATCCAGATGATGCTATTCGCCCAATCTCACGAGCACGAGCACGGGCTGCTAATATTGGCCTCATGCCGTGTGACAGATAGATATGCATGGCGGTCCAAATACGATGCCACCTTGACTGATATCAGGCTGAAGCTCCCCAGGAAGAACCTCGATGTCACCGTGATGACCACAGATGACACAGAACACACACACCGAGTCTGGCCGGACCGCCGCCTGTCTGACAGCCCCATAAGGCTCACTTTGATGTTATCCGCCTTAACCTAACAGGGCACAAGTGTACCATCATTGCGTCAATGTGCTGTTGGTGTGGGCCGTCAAGAGGCCTTAAGTGGCTGTTCCGATATGACCATTGATTAATCACGGTAAGCTTGACCGTTTTTTACCAGTCTAACCCCTGTAGAGTGTAGTAATTCTCTGAAATCTCTTGGCCGTTCGCTGTAGTCGGAAGAAGGCATGTGTAACTGGGGGGCAGGCAATCTTAACTAACAGATAACTGTTATTGTCCCCTGCCTCTGGCTCTCGATATTCTTTCATTCGTTCTAGGCCATGAGATCGCCATCGTGAATTAGGTCTAGCCCATGGCGAGCGTTATCAGCATCATGGCGACTCAAAGGGGACACAGAGAGATAAACACTGCAACCTAAGCAGGCCAAGCTGCAGTCGGCGGCCTCTCTAAAGCACTTTTGGGAAAAAACACATGGGTCGCGGACTGCGACGGCAAATTGCAGATCTTTTGCTCACCCGCCCCCTGTCGTAATTTTGGGAGGGAGGAGGGCAACTTTTCCACAGCATTGGGTTCGTGTCTGTTTTCCCGAGGCCTTATACGGCCCTAGCCTTTGGGTTTCGCACCAGCTAAGATTGATTTCTTGCGATCCCGGTTCTCGTGTCGGAACCAAGCGTACGAGAGTCGAGAGCCGCACTGCTTCCCGTGTGGAACTGCTGACCTCGTGGCCAGGGTCTCAGCTACGGCACGGGAAGGTGGGGGTAGAGCACCCGTTCGTTATATTATGACGAGGGAGATACGAGATTGTGACATTGGGTGCTAATTCTTGGCATTCTCGGGGCTGGCCCTCCCTCCCAGCCAATGCCATGATCTCTCTGCAAACAACTTCGTATCGCCTGTTGAAGCTGGAGACTTAGGTCAGGTGCAGTGATTAACAGTAATTAGAAAGGCTAGCTGGCAAAATGCCAAGTCCGTGTTCTTCAAGCTGAAGCAAGAGGGAATTCCCACAGGAGTTGCTGCGACCCTCTCTTTGGTGCTGCCTAATTTGCCGCAATATGAATAGGTACTTGGGCAGTACTACTCAGAATATTGAGACACTCAGCATGTTACATCCTGCTTGGGCGAGGATCATCACGTAGGAGACCTGTTACGTACACCCATTGCCTAGCAGCTCCCTCGCGGCAATTAGACGTTGGTCCGTGCCAGCTGTTCGTCTTTACAGTCCTACGTAGGTAAATATAGGCATGATGGACATAGACTTTAGTTTTCAGTTGTGCGACCCTTGCTTATAGGCATGAAGGGCACCGACTTCAGTGTTGCGACCCTTGCTTATACGCGTCCCAGGCGCTGGGCTTATGTTTGGTCTGGCTGGATTGGGTGATGAGAAGCGGAAACAATACATCGAGGATTAATTAATTTGTCTACAAAGCATTATAAATGGTAAATGAAAGTGACATCGACACAGCGACTGAAGTACATGTAATGTAATATATCAAGTGGGTGCCAGAAGAACAGGGACTGCAAAAGTGCATATTGAGTTTCCAATATAGGTCACGATATTAATAGACAATGTTAATCATAATAATTTATTGAGCAACTTTTAGGCAATCTTATCTTACTCTTACATGATAGGAAGCATGTATATTACTGTTCTAATTCTCCAACCGCTCCATCTAGATGGAAACCCTTGGCTTCTTTTAATTCAAAATCTTTCTTACTCGCGTCTCATACCACTTTGGCCGCACATCCGGGTGTAAATCATCCACCACAGATCCCTTGAGCCACGGCTTCTCCTGCTGAGACTCAATGCATAAATCCCACGCTGTCTGACCCTTGATTGATACAAGAGACGTATCAGCTCCGTATCTGAGAAGTAGCTTCTTCTTGGCTGTGAAATCCTCAACCGACATTCGATAATTGCCCGCCGCGTAGACCAGCGTGATGAGAGGCGTGAAGCCGGCAGTGCTTTTAGCATTGACGAGCTCTCGAGCGCCATTCTTGAGAAGCAGCTTCAGTGTTTCTGGGTCGGCGCAGACACATCCAAAGTGTAGGACATTGCCGCCGTCACAGACATAGTCAGGGAAGATGGCTCTGGATCGCCTTAAATCCCATCTGTATGGGGCGATTGGCTCAATGTCTCCTGTCAATTGCTTCACCCAGGCCTGCATTTGTTCAGTACTTCGTAAATCAGCAGGAACTGCCGACGAAGTGAGGATTGGCCCGTAGGCATGGCGGAGCTTGCCATCAAAGTCTTCAGGGAGCTCATCAAATTTCTTAACATTTTCTGGCATGTCCAGCCAAGAACCAGAGACAACGTTGATATCCGCACCATGTTTCAGCAGAAGCGAGATGATTTTTCTTCTATAGTCGCGGCACAGGGAGGACCCGATCTTCATTCGAGCCATGGAGAGAAGAGGAGGGCCATAGCGGCCATTCCCAGGAGGGTTGACATCCAGATTGCCACTGGATAAGAGAGCTTCGAGACGATCTACCGTTTCTTGACACAGATTGCTCTCCCCGTCCCATATGAGACATTCCAAAGCGTTCTTTGGCCTCCATCCGCGGCGAGAATCATAGTAATTCACGTCTGCTCCGTGTTGGATAAGCAGCCGAATCACCTTGGCCATCTTGACGTTTCTTTGGGTCATGCAGACATCCATGAGCCTTGTGCGCAAAGCGTGCGTCCACTTACCATTTGGGTCTACGCCAAACTCCAACAGACGTTTCACAGTCCTGAGTATGGGCTTCGAGTCGAAGCCCTCCAATATTTCGGCTGCTGCGAGTATCATGTCGAGCCTTTCCTCGTCTGCCACACCGCGGTTCTCAAACAATATGTCCAAGCCTTGGTTGAGCGTGAACAATGTCAGTTCATCCCACGTATCATCTCTCCAGGCAGTCGCGAAATCTGCCAGCAATGCGCGCCACAGCCTTCGTGGTCCATCCTTTGTCATATCTCGAGCAACGAGAAGGGATAATGTCTCAAAGCCCTCCGCGATGCTGATAGCTGTAGACCAATCCACGCGAGATGCGAGCTGAGTAACTGGATTTATGAGTATGACCCAGCTGCTCGCGACCGCATCGCTCCAGCCGCTCCATCCAGACAAACGGGCGAACTCTCTGGGCCATCTGACACCCGTTGTTGTCCGGGCACCTCGGCTCAATAACAGGCGTATCATGGCGTCGGGATTCTTCTCGCGCGTTGCGAATAGGAGATTGCTCAGTAGACAGGGTATGTTGAGATAACTGCCCCATTGGACCATCTTTCCTCCATGGGCGGGGGCACCATGATTTAGCAGTAAGGTGACCATCTTCAATGCCAGTCTTGGATCAGAGCCTTGATGTGTGACAATAGCATGGCTGATGAGGGTTCCAATCCGAGGTGTAGGATCCGAGACGTCCAATCCTGCATTCAAGAGGAGCTTTAATGTTTCAAGCTGCCCTTTCTCTATGGCGACATGTCCTGCAGAAAAGCCTTGGGGTGAGAGGGCGTTGGGATCGAAGCCAAGTTCCAAAAAGCAGCGAGTAGCAGACGGCTCAGAGCCAGCAGATATTGAGTACACAAGAGGAGATATCGGTGAAGCTTCGGCATCAGGAATAGAAGCGCCATGTTTCATGAGGGCCTTGATGATCGCCTCGTTTCGAGCAAGATGGAGTGGGCGCAGGAAACCTCCGACGGCGACATCTGCCGAGACACCAAGCTCTACCAGCACCTCTACGACTTTAGCATTCCCGTACAGAGCAGCTTGGTGCATTGGCGTCATGCCCAGCGTCCCTAATCTCGCCTGTAGCCCCCGTCTAGGCACGCGCTTGTGAAGCAATGGCGATATCTCCTCTACCGCCGCAACTTTTCTGATGGTGTTGGCGTACCCATGCTTGGCCGCCCATATCACTACCAAGGCCCTGGAATGAAAAACCTGGTCATCCTCGCCGGTCTGAATTTCATCTCTCTCATTTTCATTCTGTGTATCCTCTCTATATGTGGTATCGAGGCTTGCTGCGTATGGCTTGGGCATGTCGTAGAGAACAGGGGTGATATTGCGCTCCAGACGTCGACACGTCAGAAGCCATGACGCGACGTCAGAAGGGCGCAAATGATCTGCGATGAGCCGCAGGACATCGTAGGGTAATTGATACATCGTAAAGTAGTGCCCAAAATACACCCGCGGTGTAGGAGATGCCTCGTTTAAGCAGAGGAGAGGCCAAGCGCTGGCTTCAGCCGTAGAGTGAATGGTGGGTCAACTCTAGGCAGACGCGGGGATTTCTCATTTGGAACCGTGTCTGTCTCAGCCTTACTAAGAGTAAGTAAGGCTGAGGTCCGGTTGTGGGTGTGACCTCTGGGGATATAATAAGAACCCTTGATGAAGGTATTCCATCAAGGATATTATGTTTCGGCGAACATGCAACGATTGGGTAATTCATTGCTAATATGAACATGCATTACATAGACGAACAAAATGGATAAGGTAGACAAGTGGCTGTCAGGAAAACAGGGGACCTCGACAGAATTATTATGGCAGTCAGTTATATACTGATGCTTCTTATTGTGCAATAGTAATGATAATATTGCCTAATATTTGCTCAATGAATCATTATTTTGGATTATTGTCTATGCTCACCCTAGTATTAATCCCTAAGGGAGAAAAGTTTGCAGCCTAGACTCTATGCTTAGGTATAATGACATTCATCACCTTCACTTTCACCTCAACTTTCTTTCCAGACTTCACCTTCTTCTTGAACAGCCTATTTCTCTCTATACCAGAGTAGCTATAGAATATACTATTATACACTATTACTTCGATAAAGTGCCATGGTTCTTAGCCATCAATAGCGACAAAAACTTCGATTACGGCAAGGATGGTTCTTCTTCCAGCGACTCTTCTTCTTCCAGCGGTGAAGGTGATGACGGTGATGGCGGTGAGGACGACGAAGATATTGAGGATTAACTTGAGGGAAGAAGTGGGCATGGCACAACCTTGAGGCATAAGCCCGAGGCCACCTACAGATGACCGTGCGACATACCAGAAGGTAGTATTTTTGAAAAATCGAATTGTTTTTCTCTCATCCTGGATCGTGATGAGTTGAAGGCTATATAATCTTAGCCTAGAAGTAATGAAAGATTCATTGATGAGCCTAAGCTATCTGCTCCTCAAACAAATGAAGTTAGTACTATTCTTGCTGGGAGGATTCTATTTGATCGCTGCCTGGGTCGAATGGCTGCGCCTTAGAGCTCTAGATAGGCTGATTCGTACGAGATATGGTGTTGTTATTGGTTGTTAGATTCTGCCTACTTGGGGGATAAGCGACTGACATGCACACCCAGAACCTCTAGTGAGTGTTATATTTCAACACGATGTCAACAATGTATCAAAGCAGTCAATCAGTGATAAATATAATATCGAATTAAATAGTTTAGAAAACAATCCGTCATTTTCTTGTTATTGTGGCCAGAGCTTTGGTGTGCCAGGGACAGGGACCGGCAAATTGGCCAGCGACTCACAAAAAAAAAAAAGGGTGACGGTTAAAGGCTATACAATCTTGAACTAGAAGTAATAGAAGATTAACTAATGAGCCTGAGCTTATTCGATCCTCAAACAAATGAACTTGAGAGTAATGCAGTCTTAGGTCTTCTGGCATTAAAGCCAAGCAGTATCACCGTAATCGAGAGTACGCTCGTGATCTGATACAACCCGCTGCTCTATCTATCTTCCAACGACCAGAACGCCATGACGGCCGCTTTGAATCCTCCTCCAAAGAGGTTGCTTGCGGCCTGCTAGGGAGGCGCTGTAAGCAAAGCTCGGGCTTCTGCGTCGATAAATCCCACAACTGTTTCAGCCTCCACACATTTGCAGGCTTTCTGAGATCTTTCTTTTTGAGAGCGCCCTCATGTCGAATGTCTGGGTGAGCCTCTGGGATTATCCCGAAGGCATCAATGGGGAAGAGCCAGAACCCGTAGGCGGAAGGAAGTGCCCGATAATCATCTTGCAAGGGCCCTTCCCTCGCCGTTCTTGTAGGAAAATTTTTCTTCTTCTTCCACACCCATATCTCTTCCTTAAGTGACATCCGTGCCTCCTCGCGGGTCTCCACTCGCGTGTCACCACAGGTGATCATAAAGCGATACTCGACTGGGTGATTATCGTTCGAAATTTCCCATTTATCCAGCAGCCTGAACCATCTATAGATCTGCTCCCGCGGGTCACCAAGTGGTAGATAAACCCTTTTCAACTCTTCTTCAATGGGTCGAGGATCTTGCGGCAATCGCTCGAATCTGGAAACAGAGGCTAGGAGCGGCCGTGCCCGAGATAACTCTGTTCTTCCTCCCCAAATATATTCGGCTGTGTATGGCATTGCGCGCCCAAGAGTCCCATCAAATCCAAAAATGACGGAGCGTAGCCTTGCTAAAGCTTGACGTAAAATATCTTGATCATCCACCTCTTGGAATAGCTCGTCATAATGTGTCCTGGCCTCGTATATGGCGTCTGAGGGCAATGCGATATTTACTAACCCGATATGATGGTGGTCAAGGTTCCAGATCATCTGTGCGAATCTAGCGAAATATTTCAACCCAGAGAGCCTCAGAATATCAAGCTCTGGATGGAGGTAGAGGGTGACTTGTTGCGCAGGGATTCCCACTTCCTTGAAGTAGCAGGGGACCTTGACTCGATAAAAGGACATAGCAAACTGTCGTGACTCACAGCAAACACGAAAGAGTTTGCTCATATGGTCCCTGGTTCTCAAGACGATTATGAAGCCCTCTGAATGGGCCTCAAGATATTTCCTGGCTGCACGCTTGGTCTCAAGTGGCTCATCTTCATGTGCCAAGTCCTCAGCTGTAGCTCCTGGCTGAAGGTCCACTCGGAGAAGGCGCTCATAGTAGAGAGACTGCCTCCATATATTTAGTCGGACTTCTGGGGGAAACCGGGGGAACTGTAGAAAGCTGCCCTTGAATTTTGAAGGCTTTGGGTTGATGACTTTTAATTTTAATCGGTGATTGATCGCCATTTTGAGTGTAAGAGGCTATAATGAGACGAGAAGCTGATAGAGATTCCAGTTAGTAGAAGAAAGGGGCGGTGCCCGGCCAATAAATAATCTTGCGGGCCCTAGTAACGCTTGTTCAAGAGGAGATTCCAACGAGACTGATTGGTTCGTATAATCTAAACTTTGTAGAGAAAAGAAGACGTCGACGGAGATTATTGGCTCATATTTCCTGCCTATGACTCTCTTTGTGAGAAGACGTCTACACAAATTCTTGGCTGATATTTCCTGCCTATAACTATTACTTAAGAGAAGACGTCGACGGAGGTTATTGGCTCGTATTTCTTGCTTATGGCTGTTACTCAAGAGAAGACGTCGACGTAGATTACTCGCTCGTATTTCTCGCCTCTTACTCTGACTATTACCTAAGAGAAGACTTGATTTACGTATGGCGGCTAAATTCTTTGGAATTGATTTCGCGCAGTCACAGATTAAAGCAAAGCGAAGGCTTCATTAATTAGATCTAGAGCCTCTATTGGCTTGAATGTTGGTGTGCTGGATTAGATGGTGACGCTAGGCGAAACCAGGTAGAAAAAGCCATTATCTGACGAGCGGCTCGTCCCGACGGCAAGTAAGTCATCGGGATGAAGGTTTGTAAAGTTTCCCTTCTGCGTGGCTGCAGCCTTGGGCTAGCAGAGCCTATTTTGCCTTTGTGTCATTGTGTTGGAATGTCGGTCCGGCCTCTTCTATTGCTGTTTTGTACTTTGTACTCGAACTCTCACACAGTGAAAGCATGAATGCAACCTGAGAGTAGGCCTGGAATAAATCTTGCCCTTCAGTAAAACATAACATTGAGAAAAGCTGCAAAGAGCGTTGTGGAAAAAAGAACTTTGAAATATATCACAGACGAAGCTAAATCTTGAACTCCCAAGCCCAATGGAAAAACTCGGACTTGTGTTTAACTCTCTAAAATCCCCACTGTGAACATTCTCAGACTTCCTTTTAGGATGTGATGTCTTGGCACTTGAAGCCGTGAGTATCCTTCACGTTGGAGCACAAGAAACGGTCCAGCACGGCCTTGTCGTCCTTGAGCGTGACGCCAAAGTTCTCAATGGTCACGTTCTTGCAACCGCCAGCCAGACTACAGCGGAGATAGGCTGCCTTCTCAGCACCGTCGTTCCTCATCGTTCCCTTGACATTTTTGAAGTAAATATCCGAGAAGGTGAACTTGGAAGAGTCGCAGTCCTTGCCCTGATTGCCTTGGTATTGCTCGCATTGCTGGAACCAGAATGGAGTACCTCGGCCAGTATCAATCGTGACGTCTTCGACGACAATGTTCTTGCCATGACCAAGGCCGCCGCCGCCGCCGTTGGGAGGGTAGCCGTCTTGAACACCAGGCCAAGTCTTGAGATAAATGACATACTTGGTTCCGAGCATGGTGATGTTGCGGGCGTAAAAGTTCTCAATGTGTTCGTATTGACCCTTATATTGACCCAGGGAGCCGATCGCAAGACCTTGGCCTCCGCGGAAAATGCTGTCGAGAACGCGGATGTTGCTGGAGTTTCCCTTGAGGGCAATATTATCATCGCCAGAGGTGACGTCCCACCGGCTGAGCGTGATGTTGTCGGACCAAATTGTATCAATACCATCAGTGTTGAGGGTGCTGTGCTTGCTGTTGGAGGTGTTGTTGACGAAGATGTTATCGAACACTAGGTTCTTTGAGTGTGTGGTAGTCATGGTCCACATCTGGCTCTGGACAAAGCGCATCCCGCGAACAATGGAGTTGGTGAACTTGTTGAAGTTGATCATCATAGGACGATGGGGCAGGTTTCCTCGGCCCGCTGCCCAATCATACCAGACCTGACCGTTGCCATCGAGTGTTCCGTGGCCATATCCATCCCATACGACCTTGTCTCCGCCAAAGTACCATACCGTGCTCTGATTCTGGAACCCGATTGGCATGGACACACTCAGCCAGTAGTCAATATCCGTAGACCACCGCAGCCGACCCTTCTGATGGATATGAACATCGTCCAATTTCATCGTGGTGATGTTGGACTTCATGTGATAGACCTTGTCGGGGAAGACCACCATGCCCTTCTTCCGACACTTTTTGTTCAGGGCATCAGAAATCTTGAGGGCGTCATCCTCTTTACCGTAACCGGTTCGGAGAAAGCAGAGGCTACGTCCCTGAGACTTGGCCAAAACCTCCCAGTATGTCTGGTTATCAAAATTGGATTGTTTCACTGCCCTGGGCTCGAGTACTGGCGCGAGAGCCTGGTTGTCGAGCGCTAGGGCGAGCGGCAGAAGGCCGAGGAGGAGGGAGAGCTTCATGTTTGCTCCCTTGGTACCGATCGTTGAATAATGAATGAATGAATAAACCTGGCACCTGAAATGGAGGAGGACTGAGTGTGTCGTGATGATCGGCCGTAAGCCCTGTGAGACTTGATGGGGATGAGGCTTCTTTTATGGCCTCTCATGACATTTTTCAGCTAAGTAGTAGCTGAGTACCACATTTCCCGGCTACTACCGTGGGGGGCGATCAGCTCGACTTTGGGATTTCGGCGCAGAAATGACCGCTTGAAGTGATGGCCGAATCCTTCAGCAATCTCCTTAAGCCGTAATATTTATGCGAGGGGAAGTGCAAGGCCGAGAGCCGGCACAGACGGGTAGGGCTCAATTCCATGGGTGTATGTCTCTCGTTCTATGGACGGCAAGTATTCGGCCATCGATTTGACTGCCGTCTGCCCATTTCATAGCCCCATGACCCTGCCAAGAAAGGCTCGTTGCGAGCTGATCCAAAGCTGTCGCTGCTACTTTCTCAATCTGGATATCGCCGGGCGGGAGTCATATGAGACTACGCCCTCGGATGGTCAACATCGGAACTTAGGTTTGGAAACATTGCCTAGTTGTTTCTATTATTAGACTTCTCTCCAGACAAGGGACGTGAACAATTGGTCCTCGCAAAAAGATTGTGGAGAAGGTAATTAGACACGCTGTTTGAGATAAATCATTCAGCCTTTTTTGATCCCCTCCTTGATGCATGCTCACCTCGCAATTTCGCAGTCATTCTAATTATATGCGGTGAATTGTTGCTGCTATTCTTCGGACGGTGATCCTATGATAAAGCAGATGATGGCCTCCGGCTATGTCAGTTTTCGGCTCAAGTATTTGCGGAAGGCCAAAAAGCAGCCTATCAACGTGTGCTATTGAAATGAATACAGTTGAACATTGCCTTGCGTACCCTCTGGTAATGCCATATTACTGGTAGTCAATAGTAAACTTCAGTAGACATTTGTAAGCCTTCCATTGCAACAGTAGGATAGCGTATTCAGTGTAGGAAGAAGACTACAGTCCTCTTGAGTTCAATCATGGGACAAACAGAACTAAGATCATGTTGTGTGTGCAAGAGTTCATAATGACAAAATTGAATTATCGTTAGACTAATCCTCCGCAACAAACTACCACATTATATCCCTTTGACTACGTTTTGCATACTAGGTAGACAGCGGTAAGAACAGACTTCTGACTTGCATTAAAAAGGCATGGACAAATAGGTCTCAATTTGGATTGTCCAGACAAAGGAAAAGTTCACCAGAAACAACATAGAAGATATTTGGCGGACAATCAGCGACAAATGGTCATTCATTGACTGAATCAATGTTTGCCCACGATGTACAAGTCTCTCCCCTCGATATCTCGGTTGTGATGACGCGGAACTTGACACCATGTAGCGCAAATAGTTTCGTGAATTTGGCAGCCAATGTTGCCGCGTTTCCATCAAAATGGTTTGTACCCAAGACCAATACAACGGACTTGAGATTGTGAAGTCGGAGTGTGCAGTTCTCCTCGAGCCTTGTGAGAGCCTGGTCGTAGACGGGCTCAGCTTCCCAGGAATCATGACGATTGAGATCTAGCAGGCGAAGAGATATGAGCGTCGAGGGAAGAGTATCGAGTCGTTCCAGCTCCTTGACTATGTCCTTCGTCCCAAAAAGGTAGAAAAAAGTCGTGGTCAGATGCTTTAGAACTTTCATGTCTTTTAGGTAGGGCAATATTGGTTCCGCGCCTTCTGGGTTGGGTCTCTCAAGTTTGTGACACGTGAGAGATAACCGCTCCAAAGTTCCTGAAAGGCTGAGAAGACCCTTGGACAAGCCGGCGATTGCATCCTTGTTCAAAGGAATCCAGTCGGATGCGTAATCAAGTTCAAGGGATGTGAGGTTTGGATATAGCCTTCCCACGTGGACGAGTTCATCAGGTTGGGACCAAGCGTCAATGGTGAATAGCTCCCTCACAGACTCTGCAGAGAAGTCGGGCACATCCCATTCCTCAAGAGCCTCCCGGAATTCATGTAAAGAATGGCGGAACTTGACTTCGACTCGATGGATCGGTGAATTGAGCAGCAGCGCCACGAGGCTTCTTGTGACGAAATGCGATGGAATTCCGGGCCACGTCTCTAGAGTGATGGTTCGCAACTGTCGGAGAGCCGTCTTGGGGACCCATGGAGGCGTCAAGAGCCCCATGAACATATCATATCCGGGATAGCAAGGCATCATGCCGATTCGGTGATTCGGGTGAAAGAAGAAGATTGACTTGAGATTGGGGGTCGTGGAAAAAATGCCCCCCAGAACCTGCCAGTACGCCGCGTTCATTGAGCTGCTGAGGCCCACCCTCTTATACTTCTCCGCATCTTCTTGATTGTGCCATGCAATCGCTGCCCAGCTCTTGGGGTCGAGATCAGGATATACTTCCGTAACGAGTAAGTCCATGCCGTCGAACTCGACTTCGTCGATGCCTAAAATTACGGGCCAGGCAAAAGAAGTGAGCATCGAACGAAGGTTGGTGTTGTTGCTGATGGTGCGGAAGAAGTGTAGTAGCTCCAAGTTGTTGGCAAGAACAACTGTTCGATAGAGGTATTCAATGGCAAGTGAGTGCATCAGTTTCGAAGTAAGGCAGAGACTCGCAAACGAGGTCCTTGAAGTGAAGAACGACTCTTCAACATCGGGATAGTGACAGTTGGACTCTATAGTGGTGAGGGACCCGGATGGCCTAAGATGCTCTAGGACATCCACAACCAGCTCTCGGGGAAGCCGTTGTATCGGACTGGACGCGGACAACTCCTGACGACCAGAGGACTCATGTCCAGCAGATGGCTCGGGATCTGTCATTGTTGGGCGTTGGGCAGGACGGTTGAGAAAGCAGGGAAAGGTTTGTTGACAACTGCGAGAATGAAACGGGAAACTTATATAGTTTGTTATGATTACTCTGATTACTCAGCGTTCATATAATGCCACCATGTGCCATTATGCGTTGGCATACTGGGTTGCATACATATAGGAGATTGCAACTGCAGCTTGGAAGAGGGTGTCGTGTAAGAGGGTGCCGTATAGAAGGTGTCAAGTGCTAAGTTTGAAAGTTATTGACGGTCTCTGAGACCAAGTTTAACGAGGGCAAGGAGGGGCAAGTCTAGATTTATAAGTTAACAGCAAAGATCAAGCGCAGGAACTCTCTGTATAAGAGGAATGCTCGAGGTTCAACCGCTGAAGGAATAACATAGCTATGAGTGAAGATGCACGGTTGAACTTTATTCGACAATAACCCATGCAGCTGCAGCGAGTGCATTGCAACATCCCTCGCTTAGTCCCTTGCTCTCTTATCTATGCTACCGACCTCTGGCATTTCATTTGTGGATTTATGCCGCGTTTAAATTGCCCGTTATCTGTACGTCCATTTCTTAAATTGACTGTGTGTGCCTCTATGATACTCTATGGCGCTGACGGGAGCTAGTCGTTACATAATGTAATAAATCACGAAAAGTATCTCCATTACCCATAGCTGACCCCGGGATTATGGACCTTGCTTCTTGTTCAGTTCAGTCAGAAGCTCACTCTTGGGATGCTCATCAACCCATCTTGTCCTCGGTAACTCGAAAGTAGAACTGATGCGACCGTAGGATATACCACCCAGTTGACCAATGGGGCGGAGCTTGTCAAGGCTGATATGGTCGGCTTCGTCGTTAATTGCATCCTCCCGTACCCAGAACCTCGTCGCTTTTATCAGTACCAAACTCGCAATGCTCATCCCACTCTTCTGGTGGTCGTTGAACTCTTTGATGTCGACCACTTTGCCCTCAATGGAGAAGACCGATTCCTTAACTCGGGATGGTTCAACAGTAGTGGTTGGAGCTTCGTGGAGACCGGAAACTTCCCACTCTGAGACACCGTATGGCGCATCAATTGACGACGCATTGACGGCCTCTATCATGTTCTCAGAGACCGTGTTGATAACGCACTCCCCAGTCTCCTTTAGGTTACGATATGTATCTTTCGGCCCATTAGGACGAGATGAAAAACCTACGACAAACATGGGAGGGTCGTGGTCAATAACCTGAAAGTAGCTGAAGGGGGCCAGGTTTTTCGTCTTCTTGTCGCCTGATATGGTACTGAGAAAGCCAATGGGTCGGGGTGCGATGCCCGACACCAGGAGGCGGTAGTTGCTCACCATGGGCCGACCATCCGCGTAGGGGTCGATCTCCTTGTGGTTGACGTCTTCCTCAGAGGCAGATTGGCGGCTGACGCCTTGGCCATAGCTCCATTGAGGATCAGGGTGCTTGGTGGTTGTGATGGGCTCCTCGTGGGAGAATGCGGGCCGGCCAGCTTGTATCTTTTCAAAGTCGCCAAATTCCTGGACAATCTTGTAGTTTTGTTCTGCTTTTTTGGCAGCCTCAGCGTTGGCCGAAGAGGAATATCGCACCATGGATGCGAATACAGGGCGCTGGAAAGTCGGCCGGGCAATATTGGTACTATAATGAATTAGCTGTCGAGTAAAGTAGACTTCAGAGGAGGGGAGTGTGTGTTTACTGGCGAGTTAACCTCTCAAAGACCCTATTTCGGGATATCATGCTGAGTAGATGTCGAGAGATGTTTTAAAAAAGGCCTGAGATTAAGATGAGTGGGCATCAGACTGGAGCACCTGTTGTAAGTAGGTCGAGGATATTTATCTCAAATGCATTGCCCTGACTCGAGGGCAAAATCACTTATCGTGAGCTCCATCCTCAACCTCATGGCGCCGGAACGGTCCTCCGAAGACTGGAGCTTGCAATTAATCAGCATCGAGCAGAGCGGGATTTGATCCCGGCCAACGATTCCAGATCGAAACCCCACCGGCATCCACATGGACTAATAGGTGATCTCCCATCATTGATATCTGTGTATAGATATATCCTGATGGGAGATATCATGGCATCTGCGCGAGTGGAGTGATCTTGGGGAAGAAGATGGCTGCGTGCGCGGGGAAACTTTCTTGGCTGCAGACAGAGATGTCCATTTTCCTTCCGCACTGTGCAAAATGATACGTTTACATGCAGAGCAAAAGCTTCACTGGCGCAATGGAGGGTCGGTGTAAGGCAAAAGTCCCGGCGAGGTTGCTCTGTCTAACAACCAGCTATGGCAAAGCGATCGGGACCGAGGAATACCGCATTTCTCACTCTACATCAACGAGTAGCTTGTAAGAAGTCGAAGTACAATATTCGGGTTTCAATACACTGTAAATGCCGAAAGCTGTCAGTGCTTTGATAATCACATGCCATCTGCAGGGCTTATCCCAGCCAACATGAAATACAAACAGACCCCACCCTCCCATTGATTATGGGCAATTATCCTCCCTCAATCAATGACCATGTCTCCTCAGAGTGCCCCATCAGTCCGATTTTCGGATGCTACACGCGTCCAGAAGCTTGACTCGCATACATACAAAGCGAATCTTGAAAAGGGATTCTGCATCGTCGCTGGTAAGTGGGAATTGGGTGTTTACATGTTTGACATCGTATGATCCTGCTGCTAATTCACACTCAGTGCCCAATGGCGGCTACGCGGGCTCCTGTATGCTTGCGGCTGCGGCGGACCGCCTCGCTGAGCGTAGACAGCCCGACATGATCACGGCGCATTTTGAGTACCCCGAGCGGACATTCCCAGGTCCTGCAATAATCAAGATTGAGGACATCAAGCTGGGGAGCAACATTTCCAGGCTCCATCTCACGCTCTGGCAGGGCAAGATCCTCCCGGAGGCTCCGTGGATCGATCCCGCGTCCTCCAGCCGCAAAATCCTCGCCTATTCAATCCATGCTGACCTCAATAACTTTGACGGCTTCTCCCTGCCCACAGGCTACGAGGTCACCGAGGGTGCCGCGCTGCCTCCGCAGCCCGATTTCAATCGCCTCAAGACGAAGGGGGGCGACGATGTGTGGGAGGAGCAGACTCTACCCAAGGGCTCTGAGGAGTGGCATTCTCTGCGCAACTGGCAGTTCTTCGTACCTCGGCAGGGCCCTCTGACTCCCGGGGTGATGGATGTCTGGATCCGTCTGGCGAGTGGCGAGCGCATCGTGCAGGGCGCGCTGCCGTACGTGTTCGACTCGTTCCCATACAACACCTACACGTTCCTGGTATCGCCCGAGTTTCGAAAGCTCGTGGAACCGCCCAAGAAGAAGGCTGATGACAATGCTGAGTCCAAGGAGACCCGCGCGGAGGCCGAGAATACGCGAGCCAGTCTGTGGATGCCGACGCTTGTGATGAACATCGAAGCCAAGACTCGGCTTCCCGACGAAGGGGTCGAGTGGCTGGCGATGCGGGTGTCGTCGAAGCAGATTAAGGATGGCAAATTCGATCTCGAGATTAATTTGAGAGACGAGGACGGAGAATTGATTTCGGTGGGGAGTCAGATTGCCATGATTGTGAGCATGGAGAAGAACACGAAAAAGAGAGACACCAAAGCTGTGTTGTAGCTCTCGGGCGGGACTTGGTCAAGTGCCAGGCTATTGACACCAATAGCTGTACGAGAGAGGACGATTGCTTGATCCAATTGGCAATTTTTTCATCTAGAGAAGTTTTTCTCATTAGATTTGGTTGGGATATTTATACTACATCCTGTACTGTCTGTATCTACATCTTCCATCGAGGATACAAGGAAGGAAGGGCTGGAGGATATTCAAGCTGCAAATATGCCGCTTGTAAAAGGTTTTCAAAGGCCACAGTACGCAATTTGACTAGGCGGTCCACTGAAGCAACCTATCGCCTGCCTCGCACACCTAAGACCTGTTTAATCTTCAGACTGAGGGATAGCAACACATGAGCTCGGGGAGAGTCTAGCCTGGCACGGACTGTATAGTTGCAATTTCTTGGCTCCTTCACATAATCCGGTATGGTGTAGTGGCTAACATCGCTCGCTCTCACCGAGCAGCCCTGGGTTCGATTCCCAGTACCGGAGAACATTTTCTTTTGCTATTTCAATAACTTTTATTATGCAATTCTTTTTGCGCCTTCGACCGTTGAACGGTAGATTGGATTGACTTTCTATATTAGAGTTCTCAACCTTCCGTTGACACATTACCTTGGCGGATACTTATTAGCCGCGGCTTTCAGACCTGCAGCCAGTTCCAAGAGAGTACTTAATTAACCCTTGCACAGGTAATGCGTAATGTGGCACGACGATGAAGCGTTGCCACCTCAGTTTTGGACTTCTGTGATTTGATGCTCAATTGCTGTAGCCTAACACAGGCACATGGCCAGCAGACATCCGCTCTGAGACGTTCATTACCTAGGCTGCGATAAGGGGAAGTGGTTTTCCAATCAATGCTACCTGCCTGTTTGTCACACAGTGGCGGTTTCGAAACATTGAACCCTCCACTGCCCAGTTCCCTCTCTGCCCAGGCATTTCTGACCACGTCTCTTGCTGCGTGCCAAGTGATTGTTCGCCAGCATAGCATAATTCTTTCACTCTCAAGACTCCTGCTGACTTTCATTCTGCCTGGAGGCTCGCTCACCGTGATTTAAGATCGTCCTCGTACCTGATGTCAGCCTTTAGTGTGCCGCCACGACGTTAGTGGAAGGTGGCAGTGCCCAAATGCTGACAGGCCGTGCGTCAATGAAGCGTCCAGGGATAATTTGGCATGGGGTGACTCTTCAGCTCTTCCGTGGCCTTGTAAATTAGGCATTAATTAACTGCGTCAGAGTCGTGGCGACTTCAATTGCCACATCTCACCTTTAGCTTCATTCATCTTCGACCAACCGCCCAAGAAACAATCCAGAACGAACGAATTCCCTACGCAAAAAAATTACAAGAATCGTCAAAATGCTCTTCGGCAAAACCTTTCTCCTGAGCGGCCTTCTCGGCC